CTCTTATTGCACAAGACACATCAACATTATACAGATTCCATTTTTTTATCAAAGATCTACACGATCATTTAGAGCGAATGCATAGTTTGTACAAGCCATCCTTACAATCACGAGTTTTAAAAGTGTATCGAGGGTTGAGTATGACAATGGCAGCGTTTAAAAAGACCATCTGTGCTGAAGTCAATAATTTAATTGGCTTCGATAGTTTTCTTTCGACGAGTTTGAATGATAGAATAGCGATCGAGTTCGCTTTGGAAAAACAACCTCCGAAAACGGAATCGGTCGTTTTCTGTATAGAAATTGATGTCGATCAAATGGAACGACCATTCGCTGATATATCACGTTGGAGTGAATTTCGACGCGAACAAGAAGTTCTTTTCTCGATCGGAACTGTCTTTCAAATCGTCAATGTAGCGAAGGAAAAGACCAGCGATGGGATATGGATGGTCCATTTGAAGTCAGTTAACGACAACGATGAAAAATTACAAGTACAAACGCAACAAATTCAGAGCGCCCTCTTGGAATTTTTCGAGGATATTCTCAAGGAGCAATGCGATGTGAATAATCATCAACAACTTCCAGCTAGTTATGCCAATGTCGCAAGTATGTATTACAAACAAGGTGAATATGAGAAAAGTCTGGCATTCTATAAAAAAGCGTTGGATGCGTTGAACAGATTGCAACCGACGGATTCGTTAAGCAAAGCAAAATATATCACAAACGTTGCTAAAGTACAGGTAGCATTGCATAATCAAGGTGAAGCGCTGAATTTATATGAACAAGCGTTACAAATCCGTCGAAATTTATGTAAATCTGATGATCCGACGTTGATTCATACGTTACATACCATCGGTGATATTTATTGTCAAAAAGAAGATTGGAATGAAGCTTGGAAATATTACCACCAAGCGTTGGAATTGCAATTACCAGCTCTGGAAGCTTCTCGATTGTTAGATCTATCAATGATAGCTGCCACTTATATTTGCCTAGGAATTGTTTGTTATAAACAAAAGCGCTTTGCCGAAGCGTTAGATTCATTTCTAAAAGCACTCAAACAACAATGTGAGCATTTAACCGAAGAGCATCCTGTTTTAGCGTTTCTTTACAATAATATTGGTGCGATGCATTATAAATTGAAACAGTACTCTGCTGCTTTAACAAACCAGTTGACATGCTTGACGATCGAATCGAAGGCTTTACCGAAAGATCATAAAACATTCATAGAAACTTACGAAAATATTGCAACAACATATGAAAAACTTGGACAGTTCGATCAAGCAAGTGTATATGCAGAGAAATATGTTGAACAAATCAAACTTCATTATTCTGGAAATGCTCAAAAGCTTAGTGATGCTGCAGATTTCCTTAAACGAATCCAAATCAGTCGAGATAACCTAAAATGATTTCGTTGTTTGTCTATTTTCTTTGAAAATTTTATAGTTTGAACTGTAAAGACGATCCTATGAATAAACCATAGGACCTAACTGACTACTAGTAAATAGACATGTGCACGTCAGTTATTCAATTTGTTTGTTATCTAAGGATCTACAAGAAGATTTCAACTACCGGATGTAAGCAATTTTCTCATGTTCGTCTCAGCGATACTAGTAGACTATGTATGTGCGCGTATGCGTTAAAACTAGTCAAGAAAATCTTTGTCATTTTGTTTTGTTTTTTTGCACCCTTTGTCGTATATATCTTGAAAACGAAAAACTGCCTATCATTTTTTGTCTATCGTCATCTTGGGACACTTTATTGAGATGGTTGAGGATGAAGCAGGGTTGCCTGGATAAGCGGTGTTTATTTTATGTTAGACGGATTATTTTTTTTTGACAACACGAAATATCAGAATAGGAATGATGATTATGCCAAAATATTTAGGTACAAAATAAACAATTCGAACAAGTAAATGGAATTTCTTAAGAAATCTTGGCACGGGATGTAAACCATCTTTGATGGCTGTTGCAAATGGATCGTAGTTGGTTCCATAGATTGTTCGCATGATTCGATAGTAAACTCGGATTGGTGCAAAGATATGGTGTAGAGTCTGTGGTGATGCACGATGACTAGGTATGAGGGAGAAATAGATGATTTGTTCTCTCAGAGTTGATTTTATTTTACCTGGCAGAAAAAACTAATGTGGTTATATTGTTGACGAATAGATAACTTGATAAAGATAGTGGAGAATAAAAACCGTAGCGAATCGTTGTTCTTATGGATTTGATCGAAACAGTTTTCCCAAGTAAGAATAACTGGTGCTTTAACGTAACTTTTGATGCTGGAAGATGTTCAATTTTGTTAAGCTCATCGATCGTAACGGGAATATAGTGTGCACCAGTTAAACTAACTTCTAATCCGTTCGTTGTTTCAAATGTATAAAATAGAGCTGAGAAAAATAAACAAATAGTTCATTTTTTTCTATTCTCTTGAAGACTAACCTGTTTGATTTGGTCCATTATGCATCATCATTACGATCTCATCCTGGATTAAGCTCTTTTCATAGGGTGTCATAGACCAAATTTGATCACCAACTTTTAAATCTTTGATGAAACGTTGACCGCCAGCAACTAAGTTTACCCTATCGTTACCATAGAAGCACGAGCCTACAAGTAAACAAATTGTAGTCTTTCATTCATTTGCACTTTGTCCCATGTGATATTCACCTGAACCCGCCGTAGTAGCAGGCACCGTTGTGGCTGCGCTTGTGGTAGTAGTACTCGTAGACGTGGTAGAAGACGTCGTTGTTTGAGTGGTAGTGGTTGTCGTTGTTGTTGCAGTGGTGGTGGTTGTCGTTGTTGTTGTAGTGGTGGTCGTCGATGTTGTTGACGTAGTGGTGGTTGTTGTCGTCGTTGATGCAGTGGTGGTCGTTGTGGTTGATGTTGTCGTCGTTGTTGTTGTTGTTGTTGTTGTCGCTTGAGATTTAAGTATAAATGGTAGAGCGATAGCCACGCCAATTAGACACAGACAGATGATCATACAAATGGTCAATCCTATAATTCTCCATCGTTTAACGGAAGATTTACGCTTTTCATTAGTCGCCGAGATTGTTCGCACTTCGTCAAGATTGACATGAAATTTGGATGATGCAATACTTTCCTAAGAAAAGATATGTGTTGAATAGCTTTTGCATAAGTCAAATGGAAATGAAAAGAGCCTTACGTGACTTAGTTGTGAACTGTTTAATGATCGAGGGGTTTGATATTGATATTTACTGACAACGACATTCTAAAGAAGAAGATTTTCTCCCAATTATAAAAGAAAATGTTCACTCAAATTCATACCTGATGCTGAATCACGAAAGGTGATGAAAAGATACTGTCTGTAAACAAAACAGGTTTTCTCTACAAAACAGAATATGAATGAATAGCATTAAATAAACCCAAATACGAACAATCATGTTTGAGGACGCCTTCTTCTTTGAACTGCTTCAATAAATGACCGAGTAGAAAACTAATTCGAACCTTTTGTAATCCAGATATGAATAACTTTCGCAATTCTTTTGTTAGGATAATAGGTTAAGTGACTTTGTATTTTCTTTTGTCGATCGTGTTATGTTTATTCAATTAATGTCGATTTGGCTGGAGAACAAAATGCTTCTCACAGTCCGAGAAACTATTCATCGTTCGACCATAGAAACGACAATAGGTTCTAGGCAGTTTCATGGTTACTCATACATAAAAAAAAAGGATTTTGCACCGCAATCTCATGATGACATTTGTTAGTATTTCTAATGACATATTCTTTACTGACTCGTGTATAAATCATGACAAGCAATATTCTTATGCATTGTGATCAATTAAGATTTAGAACAAACATTGATTGTCGGATTATTCTTCATTTGAGCTTTGTATTAAAAGTAGAAAAATGTATTTTAAGGAAGTTAATTTATGCTATCCCTACTTGAACTAATTCCGTACCAAGGATTAGTTCATGCGCAGGATAAGCTGTATTTCTAATTTCTAATTATAAGGAGAGAGAAAACAGTCTCATTTAACACTGAGATCAACAAGAAAATTCTCCTGGGCGGATAAGTAGATGAGAAGAAAATTGCTTTTGTCACTATTAAGAACTTCATTTCTATACCAAAATGGATATCTATCAGACTCTAGAAATCGTGCGAAATACTGTTTATGCCACAGTTCTTTTCATCGCGCTTGTTTACTCATGTCTAATTCTGTTTATTCCACGTTTTCGTCATCGAACCAATATGTTTATTTTAAACTTTTGTATCAATACAATCTTCACAGCAGCTTACTTTATATTCTATTTTTACGGAATCTATTACGACATGCCACAATCAATGTGTGTCCTTTTCCAATATGCATTCAACGTGGCTAGTGTCCAAGTGCCATTTGCATTTGTTGCTTTTAGTGTTCATCGTTTTTGCGTCATTGTTTATCATATAAAACCGTTTTTCAAGACTAAAAACTGGGTTGCTATCTGTATTGCAACTCAATGGATCGCTCAATTGCTTATTTCACTGCCATTTGTTTTCGAATCTTACGAGGTAAAGTGTAAGCATCATTGATAGATATACTCTTGTCTCTATTTCAGGATTGTACAAGTAATACAGTGTGGATGGGATGTTATACATTGATTACGGCAGTTATTTTGCCATCGCTGATCAATACGATTTTGAATATTGGAATACTTATATGTGTTCGAAGGTCGACACGGCGTACTCATTCGCAAGAGAGTACTGGAACAGGAAATAGAATTACTCATCGCGATATATCTCTAATAAAACAAATGGTTTTTACATTTACTATGTTTATTGTTGGTTGGACACCTGCATATGTCATTAATACGATTAACGTGGTTATATATGTTGATTTTAGTATACTAATGATGAGTGTATATCTCGGTGCAGTATGTTTATTAGCTCTTATAATTAATCTATTCGTTTATAATCGGGAAATAAGAAACTGTGTATTTCAGCGTTGTTTATGTTGTGTGAATCAATCATAAAATGAAGTTTTCTTTTTGTTTTTCTTCGATGAATACATATATAAATTTTTTGAATATTCGTTATCTCTTTCATCAGATCGTCTCAAATTATGATCGCTAAACTGTCGATGATAAAAGATTGTCCAATATATACACATTGCAAGAAATACCGAAACAAATAACAATGCCAGTAGTGCTTAGAACAGGAAGGAAACCATAACGACTACCGGCAAGAATTAGGCCAACACAAAAGCTAACAGGAAAACGCCAAGAAATGCACAAAAACAGTAAACAAAAGCATGATCAGTGAAACGATGAGACATCTTGTAGTAGCAGCGCTTCTGTTGTGCCTACATAGCAATACAGAAGTATTTAACAATCTCAATGGAGCTTTGCGTATAAGCGAAATCTTCATTGACGCAAAACAGTCCTTTTTTGGTCGACACTTACTCGATATTGTAATCACTTATTCTTTACATTCTTGCTCGCTGTTTAAGAATGAAAATATGTGTGTTCATACTCACCTTCACCCTCAGGCATGGTATCTATAGGAGAATGTTTCGTGGAAAAAATTGATTCTCTCTTCAACTTGAGTCGTTGCAAGACATAATAAGACATATGTAAAACAATGTAATGATCTAATATTCAGTCTAACGTCTATTTCTAAAAGTTAATCCGTAGAACGAACAAGTGATACGAAAAAATTTGCCGGTGTCGTATATCCAAACTCGAACATGGCATCGAGCAGTTGGCTGACAAATATTCAGGTACTATCTACTACCGCTTAGAAAATAATATACTCGTCTGGAATAATTAGTGATCCTGTTTCAAGACCTTTCCGGCCGTCGTGACACTCCGACAATACCAAAAGAATCATTTTGATCTTTCTCGTTCACAATCGCTTCTCTTTATACAGATGGTTTATCGGTAAATATTCAGCTGATAAACACATATTGACAACGTTTTCTGTTCGAGTTTTGCGCGTGCATCTACCTACATCCTCTTTTCCATGAAATATCGCAAAGTGAAGTACACGCTCGTTGATGCGTATTTCAATTTCTGTTTAATGTCATGATTCTGTTTGTTGTTTCTTCTTGGAAGAACGGCGCCGATTAATGACGAACGCTATTTGTAACGCAACACGAAGAGCACGTTCTCGCATACAGCTATATATTATTCATCAGAATAGACCAAAGAAAAGCGAGTTCAACTGTTACTAACGATTCAGCCGATCCTGGGGGTGATCTTTGACATATATACGGTGTGCTAGCTTTTTTCGCCAATTTAATTGTATCAAAAGCATTTCGAAATGAAAACAGAAGTGTCTTTTTCTGCAGATAGATGGCACCTATTCAAAAAAAGACCTGCAAATCCTACCGATGTTATTTCTTGTTCATATCTGTGTGGGTATTGGGACAATAATTAAATCTAAATCCGTCTTTTATGACAATTTTGTTCATGTGCAACATCTTTTTCTATTATAGCTGCATTGGTAAGTAAAACTAGCGAGTGTTCATTATGAAGATGTAACGATTCGGTTGTCATAAAAGAACTGAATATGTTGTTCACTTTTTAGCAATCGATGAGGTTTGATCTGCATGGCACTTAGTCGGTCATCCTTTAGTTTTTCTTGGCGAAACTGAGCAAAAGTTCCGTTTTGAACAAGAACACAGGAAAGTGGACCAAGCTTTCCAGAATTACGAATGTATTGGTAGATATTGTTAGCTTTACACANCTGAATATGTTGTTCACTTTTTAGCAATCGATGAGGTTTGATCTGCATGGCACTTAGTCGGTCATCCTTTAGTTTTTCTTGGCGAAACTGAGCAAAAGTTCCGTTTTGAACAAGAACACAGGAAAGTGGACCAAGCTTTCCAGAATTACGAATGTATTGGTAGATATTGTTAGCTTTACACAGTTCTCTCTCGACTTCTAAATCGGCACGAGTTTGAATAACGTTCCACCTTTGATCAGTATGTTGCTGTGGATCGGTTACCTCTATAAAGATGACGTACTTAGGTGGAAATTCATCTAGTTTCGGATATGATGTAAAATCGCATAGATCAACGAGTATGTCTTGATTTCGCCATTGTAGAACTGTTTCTTGAAGAGCATACATCACATGTTGCTCAGTTGTTTTCTCGCCGAAGATATCCAAGAGACTTCCTAGACGATAGGCAACTGAAATAAGAGGAATGCGATCAGATGCGTCTATCAATTCCGACGGTAACGGAACGAGGTCATCAGCTGGACAATAGAATCTTGTACAGCTGACAATATCACCCATTCGATATCGAACTAAACCACATTCAGTTGTACATACTAGTTCATAACGGTTACCTGGTTCGATTTCCGAAGCAAGATAAGTTGTCGGTTGTTCCTGAAAAAAAAATCGACAGAACTATTACAGTTTATTTGACATTTTCACATACCAGATGTACGTCTTCTTCTTTGATAAACTCGTAAAAGTTAGATTTTGGTGAGAGAAAATATTCATCCGTGAAGATACTCGCCGAAATACCAAAAAATCCCTCGCTACCACTGTATGTTGTATGATTAATTAAACGTAGTTTCTTACCACAGTAAAACTGAATTTTCTCCTTATAAGAAGCAAATGAACCACCTAATGCAGTCATTGCATAAACTAACTTTGGCCAAAGACGATGGAGAATACCCTCGAAATTACCATTCTCGCATTGTTGTCGAATGAACTCCGCGCGTTTTACTCGATACGTCGATCCACCGTACTCAAGGCTGATTTCATTTAAAGCTTGGTTGAGTTGCTTTCGAAGTTTCATATCCGGAATATTTTTACACACAAGCGAACTATGATTGAAATCACTAGAAGATATGCAAAGACAAATTTCTTCGAAGGATTTTTCAATGATTTTAACAATATGGATGAATCCCGGAGCGAAGAGGACCGTATACGAATAGATATCCGGAACTACCAATGACAAAACCAATTGAACAAACGCACTCGTTTCGAAATCAGTTACGTCTTCGATTAGGTCAAGTCTAATGATAAAATAAGCAGATAGTATTATTTGAACTGCTGGATTCAACGGAACGGCTGAGAATGTTTGAGTAAGCTGACCGATCGGTATATTATCTTTCGATCTAGCGAACATGTCTCGTCTTTTCGCACTCTGTATATGAAAGAATCTTTGTTCACATGACGGAAACGATGCCGGAAGAGATCTCCAAATCAAAGATGACGATGCAGAGGCAAGTAACATCGCATCTTTCAGCATGTGTGATGTCATTGGTAAGAGTTTATTCTTGCCTGTTGTTCCAGAAGTCATTGCATAGTAAATAATCTTATCCGAACAAATTAAATTATGTTCTCCATGGTCCACCATTCGTTCAATATAAGGGCGATAGTCGTCATATGTAGTTAATGGAAGTTTGCTTCGAAATTCATCAACCAACGTTTGCTCTTGCCCGAACGAGGAAGACAACGATTGAAATGTAATTGATCGGTCCAAAAAGAATTTGCACAAATGATTTCTCTCAAGAATCGCTCTCAGCGCTTGATTGTTAACTTTCTGATGATGAGAGAGATATGTGCGGAAAAATGAGATGAAGTTGTCTCTATCCGATTTTCGAGACCTTCGATCAAGTAAAATCTTCCGACAAAGAATTCGAACGACTTTTCGACAAAGACATCTAACGTATGATGAAGAGAAGTACCAGATTAGAATAGTACCAGCACTGCTGAGAACCAGTGAATAGAAGAGGGCAGTTCGATCTTGTTGATAAACAAGATTTCGTGAGTAGGTGAGCGCAGATATCATGTTTTATCTAGAATTTGAAACGAGAGTCGACATGTGATAGTAGTCATTCAAACGCAAATATGAAATTGAAGTTGGTATGATTTTATAAGTATACTCTTGAAAGAATTTCTCTTTTATGTGTCCAGGGATGTTGAGAAATACAGTGTTTCTCATGCACTTTTATCATGAAGAATAAAAAAAGGAGAGTAAAAAGATACACTAGAAAATATTTTTACTTGAGTGAAAGAAAGACAACGATAAGGTAAAGCAAAGATGTATTGACATGGTGAATAGGGGACTATAAGAAAACTTCGTTTCATTCAACTGAAGCACAATGGGTAGTCGTGTTCATGTCAATCAACCGGCGCTCTCACTCTCGAGATATTTGTTTAATTGAAAAAAACGAAAAAGAGGCAATCGTGGATAAAGTATCTGTACAATTATTTTTTCTCAAAATCATATATTTTTTACTATTTTCTGAAGATGTCACTGGCTTTACGCAACGATGATTGGTTTAACGATACACCATTTAGTAATACATTAGTCACTACTTCAAACTTGACAAAAAACTAGATTCCGAAAAAGTAATTCTTGATGTCCGACAACGAACTGTCAGCCACAATATCAACTCCAGCTGGGAATTCATGGTCTCCATCCATGCATAGTCTACTGACTAGATCGTGAGTGATTGTCTTCTTAATCAATTGAACTATTTATCTGATCTTTTTAAGATCCATTCCACCTTCAAGCGTTAAAAAAGAAAATCGACTTATTAACGAGCTCGGTTCATTACACGAACAAATCGAGCAACATTGGTCAGTTACCCTCTACGATCTTACCGATGTTACTAAATGGAAACTCACGCTTGCCGGTCTTAGCAAATCTCCATATGAAGGCGGTTCATTTGAGATAGAGGCCATATTTTGTGAAATGTATCCATTTAAGCCACCGCAGTTACGATTTATTACCAAAATTTTCCATCCGAATGTGGCTTCCGATGGGTTCTGTTGTTTGGATATATTTACCACATGGAAATCTTCCATTTCAATGCGGGAGATTCTGAAAAAAGTGTATGATCTTGTTTTGACGCCTGATCTAGATTACTCTGTTTCGCATGAAGCCGCGATGATATTCAACACATCACATGAAGAGTTCGAAGCAAAAGCAATGGAGTGGACGCAAAACTTTGCTATTAAGCAAACTGAGTCGAACCGCTCCGAAGAATCGTCTCGTTCTACCTCACCTGAGTCGTGTTCCACAGAAGCAGAAGATGTAAGAATAAAAGCATAGCGATAATTTCCAAATGCTAATATCGCTCATTTTTAAGGCATCCGAAAACGGCGAACAAATTAGTCATCCAGAAGATACATCTAATACATGTGTGCCGTGGTTCTACAAATGGATCAATACGCCGAATAGTGATAATAATTGGCAAACGTTTTCCGATGTTGATACAGCTACCCTAGAAGATGCGTATCTAAAATATAAGGAACGAGTGGATCTCGGCCACTGTGTCATAGATTTGAATAAATATGTGCTATACCACAAAATTGATCAGCCTATCCAAGCTAGGATCAAACGTGCTGGTGATTCTGAAACTGATTACCATTCTCGTGGCAAATCTTATGAGTCGAAGACAGATACAAAATGTGTTACCTTCTATAAAGATGAGTCTTGCAGAAAGATTCCAACTATCACTCTATGTTTGCAAGTAGACGATAGTGTTGATGCTGTAATAGAAGGTATCCGTCAAGCAATGCCCAATAGTGAGTCTCAAGCCAATGTGATAATTGCAGAACTCAAGGATAGGGCTGCTAGTGATGCTTCTCTGTTTTATATTGCCTGTTTGCATCAATACACAAAGTGGTCATTTCTCAGCACACTCGTTAATGAATTCTTGCGGGAAGAAGATTCGAGTAGGGTCAATGCGCTTGGCCCTTTCGTCAAACAGCTACTTTTATGCTTCAAAAAGCATCCTCTCAAGCTTGAGAAAAAAATGAAAGTATATCGCGCGATAAATCTTGACGAAACGCAACTAGACAAGTACGAGCAATGTGTTGGTAAAACCAATCTTCGATGGCCTAACTTTTCGTCGACAAGCAGAGAGCGGACAGTGGCTGAAAAGCGTGACAGTAATACTTTGATGATTATTACGTTGAAGCGGTGCTATCCAGACAATGACCGACGAGCTGCTGATATTGTATATGCATCTGAATTCCGTGAAGAGCAAGAAGTGCTTCTAAGAGCTGGTGTAGAGTTCTCGGTTAAACGTTGCCTTTATGACAAAACAAGAGAAAAACATTATCTTCGAATTCATGCATATGTCTGATATTTATTGTTAAATTGTTATTTTAGTTATTATTCATTAAACAACGCACATTTGTTAACAAATAGAAGTTCTACAACAAAAAAAGAATGTCCACGAGAAATATTCAGATGCACGAATTTTAAGACGCAAAAACGCGGGTTTTGTGACGTCAGCGATAGAATGATCTGGAAATATTGGAACCGCCAGTTGTACAATCGTACTTTAAAATATTAGAGAAAATCAAGTAGTTAAAATGTTCGTTTATGTTACTCGCTCAATTGATGATCAACATAAGTCACTAGCAACTGATGTTGGTTATGGTAGGGAAGGCTCAAAATGTGTTTTCAACGGCATTTGTCTCTCTTTCGTGTGCTGTTGCATTAATACAACATATCAGTGCTAAAAATGTTACGCGTGGTATCACAATAAATTCAACAGTCCGATAAACTTCTCTTATATTTATTATTCTTCACTGATATATGAGATACAGGTTAATCTATGAATTCCTTCCTAAAGTGCCAGTACACATGCCAGTCTGTTGCGTTCAATCACATCCTTCTTACTTTCCTCGATCCTGCCTATTGGCTTTCATGTGACGTTCTATTCGTTAATACATCATCGGATACCGTTATCTGCCAGTTTATGGACACGGTGTAACTGATAAACACAGAATGTCTTCCTTCGATATACGAAGTAGGTTTTCGTTTTCGCTAATTCTCGTATTATGGTAACAATCAGTGATATAAACTATGAGAACAAATCTACAATCATGCAGTCACGCTGACTCAGTGGAAAACACATGTAACTCCATATCTAACTGTCGAATACAGAAAAGGCAACAAGAGCAATTAGAGATATTAGAAAGTTGAGTTTTATTCACATTTTTTAAATTTACAGAAAACTCGAGAAAGTGTCACATTGAACCTTTTGAAACATTATAGTACTTGCGGACTAATCTAGCCAATGGTTTCATAGTAACTAATATAACTAGGAAGAGTGTACGTTCGTTCACTGTATTAATACTTCATACGATTTCCAACATCACTAAGAAGTGGTCCTGCATAGATGGCTGGACTTAACAAGTTAGATGGAGGAGCCATCTGAACTGGAATATTGATGCGATTGCTCATACTCATACCAAGTGGANTCTTATTGCACAAGACACATCAACATTATACAGATTCCATTTTTTTATCAAAGATCTACACGATCATTTAGAGCGAATGCATAGTTTGTACAAGCCATCCTTACAATCACGAGTTTTAAAAGTGTATCGAGGATTGAGTATGACAATGGCAACGTTTAGAAAGACAATCTGTGCTGAAGTCAATAATTTAATTGGGTTCGATAGTTTTCTTTCGACGAGTTTGAATGATAGAATAGCGATCGAGTTCGCTTTGGAAAAGCAACCTCCGAAAACGGAATCCGTCGTTTTCTGTATAGAAATTGATGTCGATCAAATGAAACGACCATTCGCTGATATATCACGTTGGAGTGAATTTCGACGCGAACAAGAAGTTCTTTTCTCGATCGGGACTGTCTTTCAAATCGTCAATGTAGCGAAGGAAAAGAGCAGCGATGGGATATGGATGGTCGATTTGAAGTCAGTTAACGACAACGATGAAAAATTACAAGTACAAACTCAACAGATTCAGAGCGCTCTATTGGAATTTTTCGAGGATATTCTCAAGGAGCAATGTGATGTGAATAATCATCAACAACTTCCAGCTAGTTACGCCAATGTCGCATGTATGTATTACAAACAAGGTGAATATGACAAAAGTCTGGCATTCTATAAAAAAGCGTTGGATGCATTGAATCGATTGCAGCCGACGGATTCGTTAAGCAAAGCAAAATATATCACAAACGTTGCCAAAGTCCAGATAGCATTGAATAATCAAAGTGAAGCACTGAGTTTATACGAACAAGCGTTACAAATCCGTCGAACTTTATGTAAATCTGATGATCCAACGTTGATTCATACGTTACATACCATCGGTGATATTTATTGTCAAAAAGAAGATTGGAATGAAGCTTGGAAATATTATCATCAAGCGTTAGAATTGCAATTACCAGCTCTGGAAGCTTCTCGATTGTTAGATCTATCAATGATAGCTGCCACTTATATTTGCCTAGGAATTGTTTGTTATAAACAAAAGCGCTTTGCCGAAGCGTTAGATTCATTTCTAAAAGCGCTCAAGCAACAACGTGAACATTTAACCGAAGAGCATCCTGTTTTAGCGTTTCTTTACAATAATATTGGTGCGATGCATTATAAACTGAAACAGTACTCTGCTGCTTTAACAAACCAGTTGACATGCTTGACGATTGAATCGAAGGCTTTACCGAAAGATCATAAAACATTCATAGAAACTTACGAAAATATTGCAACAACATATGAAAAACTTGGACAGTTCGATCAAGCAAGTGAATATGCAGAGAAATATGTTGAACAAATCAAACTTCATCATTCTGGAAATGCTCAAAAGCTTAGTGAAGCTGCAGATTTCCTTAAACGAATTCAAACCAGTCGAGATAACCTAAAATGATTTCGTTGTGTGTCTATTTTCTTTGAAAATTTGATGCTTTTTCGACTGTACAAGCGATCATATGAATAAACCATAGGACATAACTGACTAATCGTAAACTGACATGTGCACGTCAGTTGTTCAATTTGTTTTTTATCTAAAGATCTACAAGAAGATTTAAACTACCGGATGGAAGCAATTTTCTCATGTTCGTCTCAGCGATGCTAGTAGACTATGTATGTGCGCGTATGCGTTAAAACTAGTCAAGAAAATCTTTGCCATTTTGTTGAGGGTGTGGGTGAGGGTAAAGCGGGTTGCCCCGATAAGCGTTGTTTATTTTATGTCAGACGGATTATTTTTTCTTGAAAACACGAAATATTAGAATAGGAACGATGATTATGTCAAAATATTTAGGTCCAAAATAAATAATTCGAACAAGTAGATGGAATTTCTTAAGAAATCTTGGCACGGGATGTAAACCATCTTTGATGGCTGTTGGAAATGGATCGTAGTTGCTTCCATAGATTGTTCGTGTGATACGATAGTAAACTCGAATTGGTGCAAAGATGTGATGAAGTGTCTGTGGTGATGCATGATGACTAGTTATGAGAGAGAAATATATGATTTGTTCTTCTAGAGTTGATTTTAATTTACCTGGCAGAAAAAACTAATGTGGTTATATTGTTGACGAATAAATAACTTGATAAAGATAGTGGAGAATAAAAACCATAGCGAATTGTTGTTCTTATGGATTTGATCGGAATAGTTTTCCCAAGTAAGATTAACTGGTGCTTTAAAGTAACTTTTGATGCTGGAATATGTTCAGTTTTGTTAAGTTCATCCATAAGAACGGGAATATAGTGTGCACCAGTTAAACTAACTTCTAATCCGTTTGTTGTTTGAAATGTATAAAATAGAGCTGAGAAGAATAAATGAATAGTTCACTTTTTTTTTTCTACTTTCTTGAAGACTAACCTGCTTGATTTGGTCCATTATGCATCATCATTACGATTTCATCTTTGATCAAGCTCTTTCCACTGGGTGTCATTGACCAAATTTGATCACCAACTTTTAAATCTTTGATGAAACGTTGACCGCCAGCAACTAAGTTTACCCTATCGTTACCATAGAAGCACGAGCCTACAAGTAAACAAATTGTAGTCTTTCATTCATTTGCACTTTGTCCCATGTGATATTCACCTGAACTCGCCGTAGTAGCAGGTGCCGTTGTGGCTGCGCTTGTGGTAGTAGTACTCGTAGACGTGGTAGAAGACGTCGTTGTTTGAGTGGTAGTGGTTGTCGTTGTTGTTGCAGTGGTGGTGGTTGTCGTTGTTGTTGTAGTGGTGGTCGTCGATGTTGTTGACGTAGTGGTGGTTGTTGTCGTCGTTGATGCAGTGGTGGTCGTTGTGGTTGATGTTGTCGTTGTTGTTGTTGTTGTTGTTGTTGTTGTTGTCGCTTGAGATTTAAGTATAAATGGTAGAGCGATAGCTACGCCAATCAGACACAGACAGATGATCATACAAATGGTCAATCCTATAATTCTCCATCGTTTAACGGAAGATTTACGCTTTTCATTAGCCTCCGAGATTGTTCGCACTTTATCAAGATTGACATGAAATTTGGATGATCCAATACTTCCCTAAGGAAAGATATGTGTTGAATAGCTTTTGCATAAGTCAAATGGAAATGAAAAGAACCCTACGTGACTTAGTTGTGAACTATTTAATGATCGAGGGGTTTGATATTGATATTTACTGGTAACGACATTCTAAAGAAGAAGATTTTCTTCCAATTAGAAGAGAGAATGCTTATTCAAATGCATACCTGATGCTGAATCACGAAAGGTGATGAAAAGATACTGTCTGTAAACAAAACAGGTTTTCTCTACAAAACAGAATATGAACGAATAGCATTAAATAAATTCAAATACGAACAATCATGTTTGAGGACGCCTTCTTCTTTGAACTACTTCAATAAGTGAAAAAGTAAAAAGCTAACTCGAATCTTTTGTAATCCAGAAATGAATAGCTTTCGCAATTCTTTTGTTAGGATAATAGGCTAAGTGATTTTGTATTTTCTTTCGTCGATCGTGCTATGTTTATTCAATTAATATCGATTTGACTGGAAAACAAAATGTTTTTCATTGTCCGACCATAGAAACGACAATAGGTTCTAGGCAGTTTCATGATTACTTATACATAAAAAAAAGCATTTTGCACCGGAATCTCTTGATGACATTTGTTAGTATTTCTAATGACATATTCTTCATTGACTCGTGTATAAATCATGACAAGCAATATTCTTATGCATTGTGATCAATTAAAATCTAGAACGAACATTGACTGTCGGATTATTCTTCATTTGAGCTTTGTATTGAAAATAGAAAAATGTATTTTAAATAAGTTAATTGATGCTATCCCTACTTGAACTAATTTCAAACCAAGGATTAGTCATGCACAGGATAAGCTGTACTTATAATTTCTAATTATACGGAGAGGAAAAACAATCTCGTTTAATATTGAGATCAACAAGAAAATCCTCCTAGGCAGATAAGTAGATGAGAAGAAAATTGCTTTTGTCACTATTAAGAAATTCATTTCTATACCAAAATGGATATCTATCAGACTCTAGAAATCGTGCGAAATACTGTTTATGCTACAGTTCTGTTCATCGCGCTTGTTTACTCATGTTTAATTCTGTTTATTTCACGCTTTCGTCATCGAACCAATATGTTTATTTTAAACTTTTGTATCAATACAATCATCACAGCAGCTTATTTTACATTCTACTTTTATGGGATCTCGTACGACATGCCACAATCAATGTGTGTCCTTTTCCAATATGCATTCAACGTGGCTAGTGTGCAAGTGCCATTTGCATTCGTTGCTTTTAGTGTTCATCGTTTTTGCGTCATTGTTTATCATATAAAACCGTTTTTCAAAACTAAAAACTGGGTTGCTATCTGTATTGCAACTCAATGGATTGCTCAACTGCTTATTTCACTGCCATTTGTTTTCGAAACTTACGAGGTAAAGTGTAAGCATCATTGATAGATATACTCTTGTCTCTATTTCAGGATTGTACAAGTAATACAGTGTGGATGGGATGTTATACATTTATTACGGCAGTTATTTTACCATCGTTGATCAATACGATTTTGAATATTGGAATACTTACATGCGTTCGAAGATCGACACGGCGTACTCATTCGCAAGAGAGTACTGGAATAGGAAATAGAATTACTCATCGAGATATATCTTTAATAAAACAAATGGTTTTTACATTTACTATATTTATTATTGGTTGGGCACCTGCATATGCCATTAATACGATTAATGTGATTATGTATGTTGACTTTAGTATACTAATGATGAGTGTATATCTCAGTGCAGTATGTTTATTGGCTCTTATAATTAATTTATTCGTTTATAATCGGGAAATAAGAAATTGTGTGCTTTATTTCTTTCAGCGTTGTTTCTGTTGTGTGAATCAATCATAAAATGAAGTTTTCGTTCTTTTTTCTTCAATGAATACAAATACAAATTTTTTGAATATTCATTGTCTCTTCCATAAGATCTTGCCAAATCATGATCGCTAAACTGTCAATGCTAAAAGATCGTCCAATATATATATGCACATTGCAAGAAGAACGATGACAGCAACGCAAGAAATACTAAAACAAATAACAATGCCAATAGTGCTTAGAACAGGAAGGAAATTATAACGACTACCGGCAAGAACTAGGCTAGTACAAAAGCTAACAGGAAAACATGAAGAAATGTATAAAAACAGTAAACAAAAGCATGATCAATGAAACGATGCGACATCTTGTAGTAGCAGCGCTTCTGCTGTGCCTACATACCAATACAGAAGTATTTAATAATCTTAACGGAGCTTTTCGTATCAGCAAGATCTTCATTGACTCAAAACAGTCCTTTTTGTCGACACTTATTCAATATTTTAATCATTTATTCTTTACATTCTTGCTCGCTGTTTAAGAATGAGAATATGCGTATTCGCATTCACCTTCACTCTCAGGCGTGGTATTTATAGAATAATGTTTCGTGGACAAAATTGATTCTCTCTTCAACTTGAGTCATTGCAGGATATAATAAGACATATGTAAAACAATGTGATGATCTAATATTCAGTCTAACGTCTATTTCTAAAAGCTAATCCGTAGAACGAACAAGTGATACAAAAAAATTTGTCGGTGTCGTATATCCAAATTCAAACATGGCATCGAGCAGTTGGCTGAAAAACATACAGGTACTATCTACTATCGCTTAGAAAGTAATATACTCATCTGGGATAACTAGTGATCTTGTTTCGCGACCTTTCTGTTCGAGTTTTGCGCGTACATCTACCTACATCCTTTTTTCCATGAAGTATGCGCCATTGAACGCACTCGTTGTTGCGTATTTCAATTTCTGTTTAATATCATGATTCTGTTTGTTGTTTCTTCTTGGAAGGACGACGCCGATTAATGATGCACGCTATTTATAAGACAACAAGAAGAGCACGTTCTCATACAGCTATATATTACTCATCAGAATAGGTCAAAGAAACGTAAGCTCAACTGTTACTAACGATTTAACCATATTTTTGGTATGCAATTTAGTTGATCTTGAGAGTGATTTTTGATATAGATATGGCGAAACATGTCCGATCGCGACAATATGCAGCAGTCATTAGTGATATTCATGCTGCACGTTCGAGAAATTACCAACTGATAGAAATTTTACTTTTGAATGTAACCATTTACATCAGTTTCAATCTGATCAACGTGAGCATTTCAATTTATAAACAAATGACACAATAGCAGAGTAAGAGCTTCGTTCAAAATGAAATCTGCTCATTTGCGATAAGTGTAAGCTATTTTATATATTATATAATAATGTGTGCTAGTTTTTTTCACCAATTTAATTGTATCAAAAGCATTTTGAAATGAAAACCGAAGTGTCTTTTTCTGCAGATAGTAGATGGCACCTATTCAAAAACAGATCTGCAAATCCTACCGATGTTATTTCTTGTTCATATGTGTGGTAATTGGGACAATAATTAAATCTAAATCCGTCTTTTATGACAATTTTGTTCATGTACAACATCTTTTTCTATTATAGCTGCATTGGTAAGTAAAACTAGCGAGTGTTCATTATGAAGATGTAACGGTTCGGTTGTCATAAAAGAACTGAATATGTTGTTCATTTTTTAGCAATCGATGAGGTTTGATCTGCATGGCACTTAGTCGATCATCCTTTAGTTTTTCTTGGCGAAACTGAGCAAAAGTTCCGTTTTGAACAAGAACACAGGAAAGTGGACCAAGCTTTCCAGAATTACGAATGTATTGGTAGATATTGTTAGCTTTACACAGTTCTCTCTCGACTTCTGAATCGGCACGAGCTTGAACAACGTTCCATGTTTGATCAGTATGTTGCTGTAAGTCGGTTAACTCTATAAAGATGACATATTTAGGTGGAAATTCATCGAGTTTTGGATATGACGTAAAATCGCATAGATCAACGAGTATGTTTTCATTTCGCCATTGTTGAATTGTTTCTTGAAGAGCATACATCACATGTTGCTCAGTTGTTTTCTCACCGAAGATGTCCAAAAGACTTCCTAGACGATAAGCAACTGAAATAAGAGGAATGCGATCAGACGCGTCTATCAGTTCTGACGGTAACGGAACGAGATCATCAGCTGGACAATAGAATCTTGTACAGCTGACAATATCACCCATTCGATATCGAACTAAACCACATTCAGTTGTACATACTAGTTCATAGCGATTACCTGGTTCGATTTCCGAAGCAAGGTAAGTTGTCGGTTGTTCCTGAAAAAAAAATCGACAGAACTATTACAGTTTATTTGACATTTTCACATACCAAATGTACGTCTTCTTCTTTGATAAACTCGTAAAAATTAGATTTTGGCGAGAGAAAATATTCATCCGTAAAGATACTTGCCGAAATACCAAAAAATCCCTCACTACCACTGTATGTTGTATGATTAATCAAACGTAGCTTCTTACCACAGTAAAACTGAATTTTCTCCTTATATGAAGCAAATGAACCTCCTAATGCAGTCATTGCATAAACTAACTTTGGCCAAAGACGATGGAGGATACCTTCGAGATTACCATTCTCGCACTGTTGTCGAATGAACTCCGCGCGTTTCACTCGATACGTCGATCCACCGTACTCAAGACTGATATCATTTAAAGCTTGATTGAGTTGCTTTCGAAGTTTCATATCCGGAATATTTTTACACACAAGAGAACTATGATTGAAATCACTAGAAGATATGCAAAGACAAATTTCTTCGAAGGATTTTTCGATGATTTTAACAATATGAATGAATCCCGGAGCGAAGAGGACCGTATACGAATAGATATCCGGAACTACCAATGATAAAACCAACTGAACAAATGCACTCGTTTCGAAATCAGTTATATCTTCGATTAGGTCAAGTTTAATGATAAAATAAGCAGATAGTATTATTTGAACTGCTGGATTCAATGGGACGGCTGAGAACGTTTGAGTAAGCTGACCGATCGGTATATTGTCTTTCGATCTAGCGAACATTTCTCGTCTTTTCGCGCTTTGTATATGAAAGAATCTCTGTTCACATGATGGAAACGATGTCGGAAGAGATCTCCAAATCAAAGATGACGATGCAGAAGCAAGTAACATCGCATCTTTCAGCACGTGTGATGTCATTGGTAGGAGTTTATTCTTGCCTGTTGTTCCAGAAGTCATTGCGTAGTAAATAATCTTATCCGAACAAATTAAATTGTGTTCTCCATGATCCACCATTCGTTCAATATAAGGGCGATAGTCGTCATATGTAGTTAATGGAAGTTTGCTGCGAAATTCGTCAACCAATGTTTGTTCTTGCCCGATCGAGTAGGACAACGATTGAAATGTAATTGATCGGTCCAAAAAGAATTTGCACGAATGATTTTTCTCAAGAATCACTCTCAGCGCTTCATTATTAACTTTCTGATGATGAGAGAGATATGTGCGGAAAAATGAGATGAAATTATCTGTATCCGATTTTCGAGACCTTCGATCAAGTAAAATCTTTCGACATAGAATTCGAACGACTTTTCGACAAACACATCTAACGTATGGCGAAGAGAAATACCAGATTAAAATAGCACCAGCACTGCTGAAAACCAGCGAATAAAAGAGAGCAGTTCGATCTTGTTGATAAACAAGATTTCGTAAGTAGGTGAGTGCAGATACCATGTTTTATCTAGAATTTGAAACGAGAGTCGACATATGATAGTAGTTATTCGAACGCAAAAATGAAATTGAAGTTGATATGACCTTATAAGTATACTCTCGAAAGAGTTTCTCTCTTTTATATGTGTCCAGGGATGTTGAGAAATACAATGTTTCGCATGCACTTTTATCATGAAGAATTAAAAAAAGAAGAGTAAAATACACTAGAAAATATTTTTACTTGAATGAAAGAAAGACAACAATAAGGTAAAACAAAGGTGTATTGACATGGTAAATAGGGAACTATAAGAAAACTTTGTTTCATTCAACTGAAGCCCAATGAGTAGTTGTGTTCATGTCAATCAAGCGACACTCTCACCCTCGAGATATTTGTTTAATTGAAAAAAAAACGAAAAAGAGGCAACCGTGGATAAAGTATCTGTACAATTATTTTTTCTCAAAGTCATATATTTTTTACTATTACCTGAAGATGTCTCTGGATGGATTTTACACAACAATGATGATTCGTTTAACGATGCACCATCCAGTAATACATTAGTCAGCGCTTCAACGTTGAGAAAAAAATAGATTTCAGAGAAATTAATCTTGATGTCCGACAACGAACTATCAGCCACGACATCAACTCCAACCGGAAATTCACGGTCTCCATCTAGGCATGGACTACCGCCTGGATCGTGAGTGATTGTCTTCTTAATCATGAACTATTTATATGATCTTTTTAAGATCCATTCCACATTTAAACGTTAAAAAGGAAATCGACTTATTTACGAGCTCGATTCATTACAAGAACAAATCGAGCCACATTGGTCAGTTACCCTCTACGATTTGACCGATATTACTAAATGGAAACTCATGCTTACCGGTCTTAGCAAATCTCCATATAAAGGTGGCTCATTTGAGATAGAGGCCATATTTCGTGAAACGTATCCATTTAAGCCGCCGCAGTTACGGTTTATTACCAAAATTTTCCATCCGAATATTGCTCCCGATGGAGTCTGTTGTTTGGATATATTCGCCGCATGGAACCCTTCCATTTCAATGCGGCAGATTCTGAAAGAAGTGTGTGATTTTGTTTTGACGCCTGATCTATATCACTCTCGTTCACATGAAGCCGCGATGATATTCAACACATCATATGAAGAGTTCGAAGCCAAAGCAATGGAGTGGACGCAAAACTTTGCTATTAAGCAAACTGAGTCGAACAGCTCCGAAGAATCGTCTCGTTCTACCTCACCTGAACCGTGTTCCACAGAAGTAGAAGATGTAAGAATAAAAGCATAGCGATATTTTCGAAATGCTAATATCACTCATTTTTAAGGCATCCGAAAACGGTCAACAAATTTGTCATCCAGAAGATACATCTAACACATGTGTGTCGTGGTTCTACGAATGGATCAATACGCCGAATGGTGATAACAATTGGCAAACGTTTTCCGATGTTGATTCAGCTACCCTAGAAGATTCGTATCTAAAATATAAGGAACGAGTGGATCTCGGCCACTGTGTCGTAGATTTGAATAAATATGTGCTATACCACAAAGTTGATCAGTCTATCCAAGCTAGGGTCAAACGTGCTGGTGATTCTAAATCTGATTCCCATACTCATGGCAAATCTTACGAGTCGAAGACAGATACAAAATGTGTTACCTTCTACAAAGATGAGTCTTGCAGAAAGATTCCAACTATCACTCTATGCTTACAAGTAGACGATAGTGTTGATGCTGTAATAGAAGGTATCCGTCAAGCAATGCCTAATAGTGAGTCTCAAGCCAATGTTATAATTGCAGAACTCAAGAATAGGGCTGCTAGTGATGCGTCTCTGTTTTATATTGCCTGTTTGCATCAATACACAAAATGGTCATTTCTCAGCACACTCGTTAATGAATTCTTGCGGGAAGAAGATTCGAGTAGGGTCAATGCGCTTGGTCCTTCCGTCAAACAGCTACTTTTATGCTTCAAAAAGCATCCTCTCAAGCTTGAGAAAAAAATGAAAGTATATCGCGCGATAAATCTTGACGAAACGCAACTAGACGAGTACAAGCAATGTGTTGATAAAACCAACCTTCGATGGCCTAACTTTTCGTCGACAAGCAGAGAACGGGCAGTGGCTGAAAAGCGTGACAGTAATACTTTGATGAGTATTACGTTGAAGCGGCGCTATCCAGACAATGACCGACGAGCTGCTGATATCGTATATGCATCTGAATTCCGTGAGGAACAAGAAGTGCTTCTAAGAGCCGGTGTAGAGTTCTCGGTTAAACGTTGCTCTTATAACAAAACAAGAGGAAAACATTATCTTTGCATTCATGCATATGTCTGATATTTATTGTTAATTGTTATTTTAGTTGTTATTCTGAAACAATGCACATTTGTTAACAAATAAAACTTCTACAACGAAAAAGAATGCCCACGAGAAATATTCAGACGCACGAATTTTAAGATGCAAAAACGCTGGTTTCGTGACGTCAGCGATAGAATGATCTGGAAATATTGGAACCGCCAGTTGTACAATCGTACTTTAAAATATCAGAGACAATCAGGTAGTTAAAATATTCGGTTATGTTACTCATTCAATTGGCGATCAACATAAGTCACTAGCAACTGATGTTGATTATGGTAGAGAAAGCTCAAAATGTGCTTTCAACGGCATTTGTCTCTCTTTCGTGTACTGTTGCATTAACACAGCATCAGTGCTAAAAATGTTACGCGTGGTATCCCAATAAATTCAACAGTCTGATAAACTTCTCTTATATTTATTACTCTTCACTAATATATGAGATACAGGTTAATCTTTGAATTCCTCCCTAAAGTTCCAGTACACATGGCAGTCTGTTGCGTTCAATCACATCCTTCTTACTCTCCTCGATCCTGCCTATTGATTTTCATGTGACGTTCTATTCGTTAATACATCATCGGATATCGTTATCTACCAGTTTATGGAAATGGTGTAACTGAGAAACAAACAATGTCTTCCTTCGATATGCGAAGTAGGTTTTCGTTTTTGCTAATTCTCGTATTATGGTAACAATCAGTGATATAAACTATGAGAATAAATCTACGATCATGCAGTCACACTGACTCAGTGAATAACACATGTAACTCCATATCTAACTGTCGAATACAGAAAAAGCAACAAGAGTAATTAGAGATATTAGAAAGTTGAGTTTTATTCACATTTTTTAAATTTACAGAAAACTCGAGAAAGTGTCACATTGAACCTTTCGGAACATTGTTGTACTTGCGGACTAATCTAGCCAATGGTTTCATAGTAACTAATATAACTAGGAAGAGTGTACGTTCGTTCACTGTATGAATACTTCATACCATTTCCAACATCACTAAGAAGTGGCCCTGCATAGATGGCTGGACTTAACAAGTTAGATGGAGGAGCCATCTGAACTGGAATATTGATGCGATTGCTCATACTCATACCAAGTGGAGCTAGAAGATAGAAAACAAAATCAATAGCTGTCGTCACTGGAGTTCGTATCCGCTGACATACCGGCATTGGAATTCCAACTTTGTCTTCTTTCTTCACGATGATAGTAGGAGGACATTTTATTGTGCGATGAAGTAAATGGTAGGTTACAACTGATCTGCAGTAGAATCATGAAGCTATTTATATGTCTTTGCCATTTGCGTCAATCGATTACGTAGTAACGTCAGAGAAAGAAAAACGAACATGCGTAAATGCACATATTTAGGTATATGACGTGAAGCGATTACAAAAATGTTTCTATTCATAGAATACATAAGAAATATTTTTCGCGAACTGTACGCACGAAAGGAAAACTACCAAAGAGTCTTATACTAAATACGTCATTCATTGAGCAGTACTTTGTAGTTTACTGTAAGAAAACGAGACTATTTTTTGATTGGCAAAGATTGTGGGTGATTGCTATGAAACTTAGATCCTCTATTTTGATTTCAAAATCTTTCCCTTATTCATACTCCAGCCACAATGATATAATATAGTTTTGCTCAAACAATTCCGAAGAAACATTATTGTTAGTTACCAAGAATTGCAATCAGTTCTTTCTTCTCGACAGATACCATTATTTAGAGCGTTTTACTCACACAGAATACCAAGTTCTATTCCAGTATATGTATACGTAGGTGTTTGATAATGATGTTTACATCAATCAATTTAGAGCCAAATATTCTTTCGTCTTGAGTCGTTCCAAACCTACGAGTAGTGTTATCAAATTCAAATAACTTTTGTGAACTTTGAAGTACTTCAGACTTTAATCTCAACATGACTTTGTTCGAAAAAGCATCATTTCTAATCAAGATAAACGACATACGAAAACAGTACAAAATGTTCAGAATCGTTCTTAATCTCAACCTTCTGCTCGTCGTCAGCCACATCAGTTTAGGGTCAATCAAAAGTACTGATACTGAAGCAGAACATGTGACGATTGATAACTGATTGTCACGTGAACGTACCAGATGAACAGCTCGAAGCGCTAATGTTGCCACAGATTACGTTTTACCGACTTGAATGCCTTGTGATGATGGACTCTATCGAAAAACTGCGCTGTGTATCTTGATGGCGTTTCTGCAATTGCTTATAGTACATGTTACATAGAATATCCACCTCGACGCCAACAAGCAACGCGTCTAGTTATTCTCGATAATTTTAACTGCAACAGCAAAGCTACCGACTTGATTCAGTGCAGTCGCAATGAAGTATTCTCTCATAATTGTGATTCAAATGAGTACGTCAGTGTTCTATGCAGCTTAGATTGGCTTAATGTGCTGTCTTTTATGAATAGAAAACTTTTTCAAATAGTTATTTTGACATACTGAAATAAAATCCTCAAATAATACCATTTACGACCCTTTATTTGAGACGCCTTTTTTTCAAAGAACAAATCTGCAGACACTTGACATCCAATTTAGTACTTTATCTTTATGAAATATTTTCCAATTCATACCTTCAAGCACTAAATGTAGCTAATCACGCTACAGATATTGCTTATCTTACGACTTCAGTAAATCTCGCGCACCAGTGATCTGTCGCGCAGTCAACTGGTCTCTTGGAAAACTGTGAGGTATATTCATGGGAGAAGAGGAGAGATTTCTTTCACTTCAGATAGCATTTTAAGTATTTAATTTCTGAAGTTTCGTTCTTTTCGCCGGGTTATATCAACGAAATAGTTTCACAACCGTCCTTACACTCATAAATTTACACCTAATCTATCGGAACAAATTAATTGTTTGAATTTACTACAGAGGAAAACAATGTAGGTGTTATAAGGACGCTCAGATGACGTATATAAGAATCAATTTCAACGGTGGAAGTAAATGCCTTTTATCATCTCTGTATAAAAATCAAACTTCGGCGGCATCTATTGATCGTAAATCACTGTTTGGCTTTGTAATTGATAATCTCCCATCATGCGTATTATTGTTTGCATTTTCGTGCTCGCAGTTGTACTTCTTGGAATTATGTGTAAGTTTAGACTATAATCATTCTATTATGAATCTGAGAAGTACTTCTTTAGATGTGAGGAGTACTAGAGGTTCATTCTTTCGGGCAAAATGTAAGAACAATTGTTGGAAAATAGAAAAGTTCGAAAATCGCAAAAAATGCTTTCAATATTGTGATTATGACCGTGGATAGTATCTATTTTACCTTTTTGATTGAATAAAACTATGTGCATCCTCATCAACAATTTAAGCTACTCACAAAATAGATGTTTTGCACAAGAACTGCAGTTTCAAATCGATTTTGATTTTTATTCGGAGAAAAAATACACATGTTAGATACAAGAAAAGGTGCAGTCAGATATATGTATTTCGAAATCTTGTCATAATTGATCTAACCAATGGTTTCATAGTAACTGACATAGCTTGGNGCTCATACTCATACCAAGTGGAGCTAGAAGATAGAAAACAAAATCAATAGCTGTCGTCACTGGAGTTCGTATCCGCTGACATACCGGCATTGGAATTCCAACTTTGTCTTCTTTCTTCACGATGATAGTAGGAGGACATTTTATTGTGCGATGAAGTAAATGGTAGGTTACAACTGATCTGCAGTAGAAACGTGAAGCTATTTATATGTCTTTGCCATTTGCGTCAATCGATTACGTAGTAACGTCAGAGAAAGAAAAACGAACATGCGTAAATGCACATATTTAGGTATATGACGTGAAGCGATTATAAAAATGTTTCTATTCATAGAATACATAAGAAATATTTTTCGCGCACTGTACGTATGGAAGGAAAACTGCCAGGGAGTATATCAAAGACTCTTATACTAAATACATCATTCATTGAGCAGTACTATGTAGTTTACTGCAAGAGGACGAGACTATTTTTTGATTGGCAAAGATTGTTGGTGATTGCTATGAAACTTAGATCCTCTATTTTAATTTCAAAATCTCTCCCTTACTCATGCTCCAGCCACGATGATACAATATAGTTTTGGTCGAACAACTGCGAAGAAACCTTATTGTTAGTTACCAAGAATTGCAGTCAGTTCTTTCTTCTCGACAGATACCATTATTTAGAGCGATTGACTCACGCAGAATACCAAGTTCTATTCCAGTACACGTATACGTAGGTGCTTGATAATGATGTTTACAACAATCAATTTAGAGCCAAATATTCTTTTGTCTTGAGTCGTTCCGAATCTACGAGCTGTGTTATCAAATTCAAATAACTTTTTGTGAACTTTGAAGTACTTCAGACTTTAATCTCAACATGACTTTGTTCGAAAAAGCATCATTTCTAATCAAGATAAACGATATACGAAAATATTACTAAATGTTCAGAGTCGTTTTTAATCTCAACGTTCTGCTCGTCGTCCAGCCATGTCAGTTTAGGATCAATCAATAGTACTGATACTAAAGCAGAACATGCGACAATTGATAGCTGATTGTCACGGGAATGTATCATAGATGAACAAATCGAAGCGCTAATGCTGCCACAGATCACTTTTTACCGCTGGTGGGCCGAACCGTTTTACCGACTCGAATGCTTTGTGATGATGGACTCAATCAAAAACCTGCGCTGTGTACCTTGATAGTGCGTTTGCAATTGCTTGCAGTACATGCTACATAGAATGTCCATCCCGACGCCAACAAGCAACGCGTGTAGTTATTCTCGATAATTTTAACTACAATAGCAAAGCTACCGACTAGATTCAGTGCATTCGCAATGAAGTATTCTCTCATAATTGTGGTTCAAACTAACACGTCAGTGTTCTATACAGCTGAGATTGGCTTAATCTGCTTTCTTTTACGAATAGAAAGCTTTTCAAAATATTTTGAAGTACTGAGATAAAACTCTCAAATAATATCATGTACGATCCTTTATTTGAGACACCTTCTTTTTCAAAGAACAAATCTGCAGACACTTGGTATTCAATTTAATACTTTATCTTTATGAAATATTTTCCAATTCATACTTTCAAGCACTAAATGTAGATAATCACGCGAGAGATATTGCATATCTTACGACTTCAGTAGATCTCGCGCACCAGTGACCTGTTGCGCAGTCAGTTGATTTCTTGGAAAACTGTGTGGTATATTCATGGGAGAAGGGGGGAGATTTCTTTCACTTCAGATAGCATTTTAAGTATTGAATTTCTGAAGTTTGGCTCTTCTCGCCTGGGTTTATCACCGAAATAGTTTCACAACCGTCCTTACACTCTACAGAGGAAAAAGACGTAGGTGTTATGCGGACGCTCAGATGACGTATATAAGAATCAATTTCAACGGTGGAAGCAACGTTTTGGATGGATTATAGATATGCAATTAATTCTATATTCGATAAGTTTTTTCCTTTTTTCGTGCCATTTAGATAGAATGTGATTGTTATTTGATACTCATTGCTATGTAAATATATGCCTTTTATCTCTGTATAAAAATTAAACTTCGGCGGTATCTATTGATCGTAAATCACTGTTTGGCTTTCTAATTGATAATCTCCCCATCATGCGTATTATTGTTTGCATTTTCATGCTCACAGTTGTATTTCTTGGAATTACACGTAAGTTGAGACTAATCATCCTATTATGAATCTGAGAAGCACTCCTTTAGATGTGAAGAGTACTAGAGGTTCATTCTTTCGGGCAAAATGTAAGAACAACTGTTGGAAAATAGAAACGTTCGAAAATCGCAAAAAATGCTTTCAATATTGTGATTATGACCGTGAATAGTATCTATTTTACCTTTTTGATTGAATAAACACGCAGTGAAATTGATTGTCATATATTATTAGAGATGTCAGTGTTTCCCATTCTCAAAACTGGAAGTTATGTTCGCGTCTCAATATTTAAGAGATTACCAACATAAAGGGATGTCTTCATCATTTTGATACACTTTTACATCTATATAATATCAAAAGGCATCATATACGTTCGAAAAGCGGAATTTGAAATTATCTTGAAACAATCTGTAATATAAATTCTATATCATAGATTTTTATGATCACAGGAAATGCTGAAAAATTTCGAAAAAAATCCCATCTATCGTTCGATAATAAATAGTGTTTTATTGATCCAATAAAACTATGTGAATCCTCATCAACAATTTAAGCTACTCACAAAATTGATGTTTCGCACAAGAACTGCAGTTTCAAATCGATTTTGACTTTTATTCGAAGAAAAAATACACATGTTAGATACAAGAAAAGGCACAGTCAGATATATGTATTTCGAAATCTCGTCAGAATTGATCTAACTAATGGTTTCATAGTAACTGACATAGCTTGGAAGAGTATATGTTCGTTCACTGTACGAATACTTCAAACCATTTCCAACATCATTCCCAAGCATAGGTCCTGCATAGATGTTTGGACTCAACAGATTTGGTGATGGAGACATGCGAACTGGAATGGTGACTCGACTTGTCATGTNTTTCTACAATACGAGGTACGACGCAAGCTAACGCATTATTATCTGCTGGAATACCAAATTATCTTCTTTTTATGGCAATAGACACGGGAGCTGGTGCTGCAGAATCATACGGGAATGGTAACTGTTATACTTCCGCTAAATGGACTGATCCATCCACATTTATGAAGTTTCCTAGTGGTACAGTATTCTTCATTGTTCCGGGGTTCTATATCGGATGCTATATCATCGAATCACTACTTCAATCCGATCTTCGATGCTTTTATGACCAAAGTTGTCTAACTCAGTTACTTTTCTATATATCTCCGTCGGCACCGCTGAACTTAATCGCTCTTGACAAGTCATTGTTAGTTCGCTCCTTTGTAAACTCCACAATAGAAAATCTTATGAATCAGCTAATGGTCGAGCAATGGACTCCGTCACCGATGTTTGAGAATTATTATAGCGAATGCATGCCAACAAAATGTGCTTATACCATCGAAACAAAGAGCACGATTATTTATATCATCACAGTAGTCATTGGATTAATCGGTGGTTTGACCACAGCTCTGAAGTTGATAGTGCCACGATTGGTGCAGTTCATTGCGTTTTGTATCCGAAAATGGCGAACAAAACGTCATCGAATCATGCCAATCATCGAGCAATAAACATCAGTGTCAAACAGACATGAACCTAAATAAAACATGAACCGAGTCGATGGAGTGTGCAAATAATTTGAACAGTCTATTCAGATTTCTAATTCTGTTCTGTCTATACGATACTAAATAATATGCTTTATTAACTCAATAAACACTATGTGAATCCTCATCAACAATTTAAGTTACTCACTATTTTGATGTTTCGCACAAGAACTGCAGTTTCAAATCGATTTTGACTTTTATTCGAAGAAAAAATACACATGTTAGATACAAGAAAAGGTGCAGTCAGATATATGTATTTCGAAATCTCGTCAGAATTGATCTAACCAATGGTTTCATAGTAACTGACATAGCTTGGAAGAGTATATGTTCGTTCACTATACGAATACTTCAAACCATTTCCAACATCATTCCCAAGCATAGGTCCTGCATAGATGTTTGGACTCAACAGATTTGGTGATGGAGACATGCGAACTGGAATGGTGACTCGACTTGTCATGTTCATAGTAGGTGCAGCTAGAGGAGATAGAAGACAATGATTACATGGTTATATGCACTTGTGAGTGATTACATACCAGTATTTGACGACCAGCTTTGTCTTCTTTCTTCATGATGATAGTAGGAGGACATGTTGATGTGTGATGAGTTCAACGATTCTTTGTTATATATGTGTTTGACAGAAACAACGATCGATATTTATATATTTTTACTACTTACGTCAGTCGATTGGATATTAACGTCAATGAAAAAAATGATACACAATTATGCGTATATTTAGGTGTAACGTCAAGATATTATCGCCGGATTTCTATTTATGTAATAAACGTGATGTATTTTTTCGTCTTATGTGTGTACAGAGCTAACAGCAAAAGTAGAGTTGATTCTCCTCCGCACATTCCATCGAATTGATTGCGATGACTTCTTATTTTTTGAGAAATAAGTCGAAACTACGTCATTCGAATGAATTATACATCTCTTAATTGACAACAAACGCTGGTTTCTTAGAGGAAACGACGTCATATATGTCACAGGACATAACAAAACAATGAAATTGAATTGATTAGTGTTCCATTAAAGTAATGAAAGAAACAAGGATATAAAACGCCAAGGTAGTAATTTCCATTTCATTCTTCATTTTTATTTGAAATCGACATAGTTATGTTGTACCCGAGATTCTCTGTCATGTTATTCATGTGCCTATTCATCGCACAATCCATCGCACAAGATACACGGTCACTTCAAATGTCGATTATGGATGGTTATCAATTCCAATGTGTTAATACAACTTGTTTACCATTTGCTACTGTGTCCGTATCCGATATTCGCGATTGTCAATTCATGTGTTTAAGTAATGAGCGGTGTCGCGCGGCAACTTTCCACCAGTCAATTTCTGCCTGTGAACTATTCGCTAATGCATCCAGCAATGTCACTCTCATGTTCCCACAAGTGCAAACAACTGCTATGCTAGTCATGCCTGACACACGGACAAGATCATGTTAGTATATTCAGTCAACACACTCTGACAAAGATTAGCATCGAATTTGATCTGCTTTTAGATTCATACACTATGTTTGAAGTTGCGATAACGTATTCCGTTGGCTACGTTCCCATTCCGGTATTCGTTACCGATACTAATAACGACAATAAGTCGGATATCGTTGTTGGTAACTATAATTCGAATTCAATTGGTGTGCTTCTTAACTATGGTAATGGCACATTTGCTCATCAAGTCGAATATTATATCGGAGCTTATCCATTCGGATTAGCCGTTCGAGATATCAATGGTGACAATAAACCTGATATCATCGCTGCGATTCAAAACACCGGTTACATAAACATTTTGCTGAATGCAGGCAACGGTACATTTCTTCCTCCAACAAATTATACAAGTGGCACATCGCCATTGTCAGTTGTCGTAGCAGATTTCAACAATGATAGTCAGCCTGATATAGCTGCTGCTAACTCTGGCTCATATACGGTGTCAGTTTTACTCAACGCTGGAAATGGATCATTTCCGAATAAAACAAGTTACTCTGTTAGTACAACACCACGATCAATAGCAGCTGCAGATCTCAACGGCGATGGTAAAATCGACCTCGTTGCTGCCAATAGTGGTGCAAACAACACCGGGGTGCTCATCAATTCAGGTAGTGGATCATTTTTGTCACAAGTAACGTATCCAGTTGGTCAGACTCCGTATTCAGTTGCAATAGCAGATCTCAATCATGATAATTACCCCGACATTATCACTGCCAATTATAATTCGAATACTACCAGTATTCTTTTCAATACTGGTAGTGGCTCATTTCTTTCTCAAGTAACTTATGCAGTTGGTGCTCTACCGTATTTTGTGGCGGCAGTTGATATAAATAAAGATCAAAATATTGACATCATTGTTGCTAACTCCGGTTCCAATAACGTTGGAGTGCTTTTCAACACTGGCACAGGCTCATTTGAAAGTCAAGTTACTTATTCAGTTGGCAATGATCCACATTCAGTCTTCGTCAGCGATGTGAACTACGATGGAAAGCTCGATATAGTCACCGCTAACTCCGGTTCAAATACTGTCTCTGTTCTCTTATGTAAATGACAAATTTTTATATTTTATGGAAAGAAAACGACTACAAATGCTTTTTCATTTACACTTTCACTCATATTTATTCTGAATAAAGGCAAAACAAGTATTTTATTTCTGTACATGAAATGTGTGTTTTTAGTATTGAAGCAGCATTGTGCAATCACTTGTTCTCCTTTTCCACAGGCAACCAATAGAATGAATACACATAAATGTTTCTCGAGAAGCGAAGTGATGACATTCAAAACACGTGGTAAAAAGAATAAAATCGCGCAGTGGTGTTCTTAATATGGAAGAGACAAAGAAGAAACAATCATCGACTTTATTACTAGAAGATTTACCGAACGAAATCTTTCGTCAAATTTTTTCTTATGTTAACGGTGTTCATGCTTTTCTTGCATTTTCATCCCTGAATTACCGTTTCCAATGTTTAATACTCGATTATTGCACAACATTTGACTTCAAATCAATTGAGAAAACTCAGTTCGATTATGTTTTCCGATATCACAACACACGGCAATGGACAACACTACAACTTGTCAACGATAAGAATACACCGGGACAAATCGAATATTTCATCGAGAAGTATTCTTCGTTCAAAGATTTCACTCATCTAAAATCATTATCTCTGGTGAGGACGGACTACGCTTATGAATATGCTATATCGAAGCTTGCACCCATTCTTGAGAATATTGTATCGTTGACGACCAACTCTTGGGAAATTTCACAACTGGCTGCTTTGGACTTACCGAAATTGAAACATCTGATTATCATTCAACACTATGGCACGCTATCAGGTCATCTGCACGTAAGATCAGTCAAGTTTTGTCATTATCAATCACGAAATATTTCCATATTTTAGAGTATCTCTCAACTTGAGAGCTTGGAAGTTCGTATGACTTATCGAGACTATTTCGTTGATAATAGCATGTGGCCTACAAAGTTAAAAAAATTGAAAGTCACTTCTAAGTTCATGTACCATCTTCACGAGTTCGCGAATTCTTTGAAAACTTTATCTCAATTAGAAACTCTCGAGATCTATCAAATGCAAATGACACACGAACATCTTGACGGTGATGTCTGGGAAAGCATCATTTCATCTTCACTTCCTTTGCTCAAGCATTTCAAGGTTTACTTTCACGTTACATATTCGTACTCATTGAATGCCAACAATGAAATTCNAATGGTTTCATAGTAACTGACATAGCTTGGAAGAGTATATGTTCGTTCACTGTACGAATACTTCAAACCATTTCCAACATCATTCCCAAGCACAGGTCCTGCATAGATGTTTGGACTCAACAGATTTGGTGATGGAGACATGCGAACTGGAATGGTGACTCGACTTGTCATGTTCATAGCAGGTGCAGCTAGAGGAGATAGAAGACAATGATTACACGGTTATATGCACTTGTGAGTGATTACATACCAGTATTTGACGACCAGCTTTGTCTTCTTTCTTCATGATGATAATAGGAGGACATGGTGATGTGTGATGAGTTCAACGATTCTTTGCGATCGATTGGTAACGCCAAAACAGGAGAGTGTGCAGATTTATATGGCTTTTACATTGACGTCATGTTGAATATTCACGTCATAGAGAGAAAAAGAAAAAAACATGCGCAAAAGTGTTTATATTTAGATGTATATGTGACGTGAAGATATGATCGAAGTGCGCATCTACTTATGTACGAGAAAGAAAAAAAATTGTTTTGTACCCAATGTAAAAGAGTGTCATACTAAATAAACCATCTTATTGATCTATGCAATATTATACGGATTGTTGTTTGGTCGACGTTGTGAGATGAAGAGTCTTGTAGAAAGATATTTGAATATTTGATAAATACGAGTAAAAGTATCTTATTGTGCCTTCACCATATGTCATGAATCTATTTAATCTTCGGACAAACTGTGGTAGATCATAGAGATAGTTTGACAGTGACATTGCATTCATGAGTTTATAGTATAAAGGAGAATTATATGGTCATAAAAGAATCCGCCTATATGTCAATTTCAATGACGGAATTAACATTCTAGATGAATTGTCGACATGTACGAAATCCTGTACTGGATAAATTTCTTTCTCTCGTAATATCGGGACAGTGTATACGTTCATTATTTCCTGGTTACAGTCGTTACGTTGAACTTCTCTCGACAATCGTACTCTTTTATGAAAATCATGGGTTTAATCGTGTTTGCTCAAAATTATCTTTGGCAGCACTCAAACAGCTCTTTGATGTGTGTTTCATGCAATCTGCCAATTTCGAGGACACAAAACGATACCATTATGATCAAGTCGATATGTCGAGAACGAAAGTTCACGAGAACGGAAATATTTGACAGCGTCATCCAAAGGAAAAGCTACTCCATACGGAAATCTGTCTGATAAATGCCACGCGACATAATAAGTATTTAATATAGCAAGAGGAAAAGTCGGATACAATAGGATAATTAGAATGCAGTCAATTATGAACATTGAGATTGCAGAAAATGATCTTAAACATAAATAACAATTGAGAAGCGTCAATGTAAGCATGATCACAAACAGCTGGATATGTTCTTCTTTGTTAGTTCAAAGTACGTTGCATATGAGGATATCACCCTGCAGCAAATCAATGATAACCATTTCATTTTCTGATAGCAACTGCTAACGTCCAGTGTATTATGTATTTGATTGACAAAAATCTAACATTCCATTTACTTGTAATTATATGCCTCCTTTTTCATCGAATTTTTCGAGATCACCATAACTTTTCACAATCGTCATTTCCATAAAGACGTAATTGTGCGAATGAGAATGTGCATTTTCCTCCCAGAAAAAGAAAAACTAATTTCTTTTTTGTTTTAATTTGCAAGAAAAAGACTTACTTGAGGTAATAATATTTCAAGTAGATATACTTCCAATGAGAAATTCACCATATCATTTCTATTTCTTTTTCCAGTTATATGAACATGCGTCCATACATTGTCGAATTATTACAGAAAACAAAACGCTCATTGCTAAATCTCAACTTATTTCCTTCAGTCCCACCATCTGTCGATGAACATCAACTTCACAATCAACGGATTTCAACAAGAGTATTTATCTTTCTCTTGTTATCGTCGTTAACTATTCTTATCTTGTACACTTCATTGATCAACATCACACAAACGATCACTATCGATTTACCTACAGTCACAAAATATGATGATCTATACTCAAAGTATTCACAAGCATTATCATGTCCATGCACACAAGTATCGATTGGTTATGACAAAATTCTTCATGTTGCATATGTGTTTCATGAAGTGTGTAGTAGTGTCTATGTCACACAAGCTTGGATTGATTATCTTTCTCAATTTACCGAATTTTTTAATTTAACTAGCGGAGACTTTCGAGCGACAAGCATAGCTTCATTTCAAGCTTTGAGCGGAATTTGTCAGTTAGTCAATGAAACTGTTAGCAATCGTTTAAGTGAATTCTATTCAACACAGTATGTTACCGCATCTGTTGTGTCCAGAAATGTATTTGAATCTCAAACTAAAGCATTCGTATCTCAATTTATATCAACGATGACTAATGACTTTCTGTTATCGCTTTCTGTAATACGTGATACTACTCAAGCGAACGGTTTGTTCTCTGGTCAATTTACAAATTATGAACTGATCCAGTCCAACGTGCGAGTATTCCCAGTTTCAAATTCATATGGAAACTGTATGTGTTACAGTTCAGCTCGATGCACGAGTCCATCGAGAATTATTAATATTAACACTAATACAGTGTTGTTCACTGTTCCGGGCTTTTATATCGGATGTTATATCATCGAATCATTACTTCAGTCGGACTTTCGATGCTTTTATGATCAAATTTGTTTAGATCTATTACGATTTCATCTATCCCTGTTCACACTGCTAGATGCAACAATTCTTAACAGTTCACTACTAATAAACTCCAACGTTAACTCGACGATTGAAGATCTTCTCAATCAACTGATGGTCGAAAAATGGACACCGTCGCTGATGTTTGAGAGCTACTACAACGAATGTAGACCAGAAAAGTGCTTGTATACTGTCGAGGCAAAGAATAGCGTTATTTATATTGTTACAACAATGATTGGACTTGTTGGTGGCTTAATCAAGGTATTTAAATTGGTCGTACCACGATTAGTTCAGTTTATAAGAAGAAAGAAGCCGACCAAGCGAGAATCCGGTAAGATACACCATATTTGAAGGTATGAGTATCTAGCAGTCACTTATACAAACTCTTGTTAATCCACTTTGATGAAGTGCTTTTTTCACTAAGTAAAAAGCTGTTAAATATCAGGAGCTACATTTACTGACGGTTTTCTACATATAATCGTAGAATAGAATGTTGTTTGGTATTCATGCAGAACGTTCTATTTTGTCACAAGATTTGATAATACATTAATAATCGAGCCAACCAAATTCAGTTAAAAACATTTTAATGTGTTACCTTTTATTTAGAAGTGTCAGACTCAGTACAAAAATCGAGTATACTTCAAACATACAAGCATCACCTTTGTTCATTCAACTTATTTCCTTCGATTCCACCATCTGTCGATGAACAACGTCTTTACGAAGAGCGAATAACAACCAGATTCTTTATCATTCTCTTGTTAATATCATTAACTATTCTCATCTTATATACTTCACTGATTGACATTACACAGACTGATATTGTCAGCTCACCTACAATGACAGAATACGGTGAACTATACTCAATCTATTCACAAAGACTCATATGTCCATGCACAAAAATTTCAAATAATTATGGTGCATTTGTTCAGTTGAATTATACATTTCATCAACTGTGCAGCAGTGCCTTGATTTCGCAATCCTGGATCGAATATCTTGCTCCATATTCTGGAAGACTTAATGTCACTTTCATTGACTTTCGAGCATTAGGTACGTTTATCTTTCAAGGTTTGCGTGGCTTCTGTAACTCAGCGAGTCAGGTGATAGCCAATCGTTTGATGGAATTTTATTCAACACAATATGTCACAGCATCTGTCATATCAAAAGAAGTATTTAACTCTCAAATGAAATCATTAACTACTCAATTTATCTCGACAATGATCAATGATTTTCTTTTATCATATTCTGCAATACGCTTTACCACTCAAGCTAACAGTTTGGTGTCTGGTCAACTTACTAACTATTTCCTGGTACAACGGACAGACTACTACTTTCTTAGTTGGGCTTATATAACCTACAATTGTACTTGCAGCTCTTCGGCCAGATGTAGTGCTTGGTGTGGAATTGTTGATCCTCCTACCAGCACCATCTTTTTCCGTATGCCTGGTATCAAATCAGGATGCTACATCATTGAGGCATTGCTTCAATCTGATCTCCGATGCTTTTATGATCAAACTTGTATAAATCAATTACAATCTTATCTGAGATTAATGCCACCAATCAATATAACAGCTCTTGACAAATCGTTGCCAAGTAATTTTTCTTCTAATTCATCAATTGCCGAATTACTTGGTCATCTAATGGTTGAACAATGGACACCGTTGATTGTATATGAGAAGTATTACCATGAATGTCAGCCGTATCAGTGTGTTTACATTTATAAAACGAAGAACAGTGTTATTGGCATTATCACAATCATCATTGGCTTAATTGGCGGTTTGATCACAGCATTGAGACTGATTACGCCACGATTAGTGATGTTTTTTAGATACAAGGAGATACCAGAACGGCCACAGAATGGTAAGACAATATCAACATGACTAGAGAGAAATAGTCTCTCTATTTATACTGTATCAGTCTTCCTTTTATTGGCCCTTTTTTAGTGACAAATATCAATGAAAAAAGTCGTGAATTGTGGCGGAAATTAAAGGATTTTATCGTGACCTTTAATTTATTTCCTTCAATCCCACCATCTGTCGATGAACATCAACTTCACAATCAACGGATTTCAACAAGAGTATTTATCTTTCTCTTGCTATCGGCGTTAACCATTCTTATCTTGTACACTTCATTGATCAACATCACACAAACGATCACTATCGATTCACCTACAGTCACAAAATATGATGAACTATACTCAAAGTATTCACAAGCATTATCATGCCCATGCACACAAGTATCGATTGCTTATGACAAAATTCTTCATGTTGCATATGTTTTTCATGAAGTGTGTAGTAGTGTCTATGTCACAAAAGTTTGGACCGATTACCTTGATGCATCGAATCAAACGGGTGGCTTGTATAGCCGTGACTTTCGATCATCAGGCACATTCGCATTTCAAGCTTTGATCGGAATTTGTCAGTTAGTCAATGAGACTATTAGCAATCGTTTAACTGAATTCTATTCAACACAGTATGTTACCGCATCTGTTGTGTCCAGAATTGTATTCGAATCGCAAGTTGAAGCATTCATATCTCAATTTATATCAACGATGACTAATGACTTTCTTTTATTAGTTTCTACAATACGAGGTACGACGCAAGCTAACGCATTATTATCTGCTGGAATACCAAATTATCTTCTTTTTATGGCAATAGACACGGGAGCTGGTGCTGCAGAATCATACGGGAATGGTAACTGTTATACTTCCGCTAAATGGACTGATCCATCCACATTTATGAAGTTTCCTAGTGGTACAGTATTCTTCACTGTTCCGGGGTTCTATATCGGATGTTATATCATTGAATCACTACTTCAATCCGATCTTCGATGCTTTTATGACCAAATTTGTCTAACTCAGTTACTTTTCTATATATCTCCGTGGGCACCGCTGAACTTAATCACTCTTGACAAGTCATTGTTAGTTCGCTCCTTTGTAAACTCCACAATAGAAAATCTTATGAATCAATTAATGGTCGAGCAATGGACTCCGTCACCGATGTTTGAGAATTATTATAGTGAATGCATGCCAACAAAATGTGCTTATACCATCGAAACGAAGAGCACGATTATTTATATCATCACAGTAGTCATTGGATTAATCGGTGGTTTGACCACAGCTCTGAAGTTGATAGTGCCACGATTGGTGCAGTTCTTTGCGTTTTGTATCCGAAAATGGCGAACAAAACGTCATCGAATCGTGCCAATCATCGAGCAATAAACATTGAACTTAAATAAAACATGAACCGAGTCGATGGAGTATGCGAATAATTCGAACAGTCTATTCAGATGTCTAATTCTATTCTGTTTATCTGATAATAAATAATACGTTTTATTGATTCAATAAAACTATGTGAATCCTCATCAACAATTTAAGCTACCCACAAAATTCATGTTTCGCACAAGAACTGCAGTTTCAAATCGATTTTGACTTTTATTCGGAGAAAAAATACACATGTTAGATACAAGAAAAGGTGCAGTCAGATATATGTATTTCGAAATCTTGTCATAATTGATCTAACCAATGGTTTCATAGTAACTGACATAGCTTGGAAGAGTATATGTTCGTTCACTATATGAATACTTCAAACCATTTCCAACATCATTCCCAAGCATAGGTCCTGCATAGATGTTTGGACTCAACAGATTTGGTGATGGAGACATGCGAACTGGAATGGTGACTCGACTTGTCATGTTCATAGCAGGTGCAGCTAGAGGAGAGAGAAGACAACGATTACATGGTTATGCACTTGTGAGTAATTACATACCAGTATTTGACGACCAGCTTTGTCTTCTTTCTTCACGATGATAGTAGGAGGACATGTTGATGTGTGATGAGTTCAACGATTCTTTGTTATATATGTTTCACAGAAACAACGATCGGTATTTATATATTTTTATTACTTACGTCAGTCGATTGGATATTAACGTCAATGAAAAAATGGTAAACAATTATACGTATATTTAGGTGTGACGTCAAGATATTATCGCCGGATTTCTATTTATGTAATAAACGTGATGTATGTTTTCGCCTTATGTGCTCAGAGCCAACAACAAAAGTAGAGTTGATTCTCCTCCGCACATTTCATCGAATTGATTGCGATGAATTCTTACTTTTTGAGAAATAAGTCAAAACTACGTCATTCGAATGAACTATACATCTCTTAATTGACAGCAAACTCCAGTTTCATAAAGGAAACGACGTCATATCTATCACAGGGCATAACAAAACAATGAAATTGAATTGATTTGTGTTCCATTAGAGTAATGAAAGAAACAAGAATATAAAATACCAAGGTAGTGTTTTACATTTCATTGTTCATTTTAATTTGAAACCGACACAGTTATGTTGTACTCGAGATCCTCTGTCATGTTATTCATGTGCATATTCGTCGCACAATCCATCGCACAAGACACACGATCACTTCAAATGTCGATTATGGACGGTTATCAATTCCAATGTGTTAATACAACTTGTTTACCATTTGCTACTATGTCCGTATCCGATATTCGTGATTGTCAATTCATCTGCTTAAGTAATGAGCAGTGTCGCGCGGCAACTTTCCAACAGTCAACTTCTGCCTGTAAACTATTCTCTAATACGTCCAGTAATGTCACCCTTATGTTTCCTCAAGCGCAAACAACTGCTATGCTAGTCATACCTGACACACGAACAAGATCACGTTAGTATATTCAGTCAATACACTCTGACGAAGGTTAGCATTGAATTTGATCTGTTTTTAGATTCATACAGTATGTTTGAAGTTGCGGCGACGTATTCCGTTGGCTACTTTCCCATTCCGGTATTCGTTACCGATACTAATAACGACAATAAGTCGGATATCATTGTTGGTAACTATAATTCGAATTCAATTGGTGTGCTTCTTAACTATGGTAATGGCACATTTGCTCATCAAGTCGAGTATTATATCGGAGTTTATCCATTCGGAATAGTCGTTCGAGATATCAATGGCGACAATAGACCTGATATCATCGCTGCGATTCAAAACACCGGTTACATAAACATTTTGCTGAATGCAGGCAACGGTACGTTTCTTCCTCCAACAAACTATACAAGTGGCACATCTCCGTATTCTGTTGTCGTAGCAGATTTTAACAATGATAGTCAGCCTGATATAGCTGCTGCTAACTTTGGCTCATATACGGTGTCGGTTTTTCTCAACGCTGGAAATGGATCATTTCCGAATAAAACAAGCTACTCTGTTAGTGCAACACCACGATCAATAGCAGCTGCAGATCTCAACGGCGATGGTAAAATCGACCTCGTTGCTGCCAATAGTGGTGCAAACAATATCAGCGTGCTCATCAATTCAGGTAGTGGATCATTTTTGTCACAAGTAAACTATCCAGTTGGTCAGACTCCGTATTCAGTTGCAATAGCAGATCTCAATCATGATAATCACCCAGATATTATCACTGCCAATTATAATTCGAATACTACCAGTATTCTTTTCAATACTGGTAGTGGTTCATTTCTTTCTCAAGTAACTTATGCAGTTGGCTCTCTACCATATTTCGTGGTGGCAGTTGATATAAATAAAGATCAAAATATTGACATCATTGTTGCTAACTCCGGTTCCAATAACGTTGGAGTGCTTCTCAACACTGGCACAGGCTCATTTGAAAGTCAAGTTACTTATTCAGTTGGCAATGATCCACATTCACTGTTCGTCAGTGATGTGAACTACGATGGAAAGCTCGATATAGTCACCGCTAACTCCGGTTCAAATAATGTCTCTGTTCTCTTATATAAATGACATTTTCTATATTTTATGGAAAGAAAATAACTACAAATGCATTTTCATTTACACTTTCACTCACATTTATTCTGAATAAAAGCAAAACAAGTATTTTATTCCTGTACATGAAATGTCTGTTTTTAGTATTGAAGAAGCATTGTGCAATCACTTGTTCTCCTTTTCCACGGATAACGAATAGAATGACTACACATAAATGTTTCTCGAGAAGCGGAGTGACGACATTTGAAACACGTGGTGAAAAGAATAAAATCGCGCAGTGGTGTTCTTAATATGGAAGAGGCAAAGAAGAAACGATCATCGACTTTATTACTAGAAGATTTACCAAACGAAATCTTTCGTCAAATCTTTTCTTATGTTAACGGTGCTCATGCTTTTCTTGCATTTTCATCCCTGAATTATCGTTTCCAATGTTTAATACTCGATTATTGCACAACATTCGACTTCAAATCGATTGAGAAAACGCAGTTCGATTATGTTTTTCGATATCACAACACACGACAATGGACAGCACTACAACTTGTCAACGATAAGAATACACCAGGACAAATCGAATATTTCATCGAGAAGTATTCTTCGTTCAAAGATTTCACTCATCTAAAATCATTGTCTTTGGTGAGCACTGACTACACTTATGAGTGCGTTATATTGAAGCTTGCACCCATTCTTGAGAATATTGTAACGTTGACCGTCAACTCTCGGGAAAGTTCACAACTAGCTGCTTTGAACTTACCGAAATTGAAACATCTTGTTATTCTTCAACATTATGACACACTAGCAGATCACCTGCACGTAAGATCAGTCAAGTTTTATCATTATCAATCAGGAAATATTTTCATATTTTAGAGTATCTCTCAACTTGAGAGCTTGGAAGTTCGTGTGACTGGTCGAGGATATTTCGTTGATAATAGGATGTGGCCCACAAAGTTGAAAAAATTGAAAGTCACTTTCAAGTCCATGTACTATCTTCACGAGTTCGCGAATTCTTTGAAAACTTTATCTCAATTAGAAACTCTCGAGATCTATCAAATGCAAATGACACGCGAACATCTTGACGGTGATGTCTGGGAAAGCATCATTTCATCTTCACTTCCTTTGCTCAAGCATTTCAAGTTTTACTTTCACTTTACATATTCGTACTCATTGAATGCCAACAATGAAATTCAACACATAATCGATTCCTATTCGACCCCATTTTACACCATAGAAAACAATTGGTTCATTCGTTGTCATTACAAGAAACACGTTAAGCATAATGAAGCAAATATAATTCTTTATACATTGCCATGCGATCTTGACCAAATGACGATCAATACAAAATATTTTGATGAATACGTTACTACATTACCCAATGACAAAGACAAGAGTGTTTATAAAGTCAGATATTCGAATGTAAAGAAACTGATTATTAACGATTTGATACCATTTCACGAAAACTTCTGCCAAATGAATCTTGAAGAGCTGAAACTAAAGTATTATATAAACTTCAATCAATGGTCATATGTTTTACGGAATCTGCGCAGTTTAGAAATCGATACGAACGTACGAGTATGGTCGAAAATGTTTATTCATTTGTTCGACTGTGCTCCAAATTTATGCGAGCTGAAGATCGAAAAAAATCTTCTTCGTGGAATAACTTCAGCGTGGACGGATCGAAACCTACGTAATTCCTTCGGAAGACAAATTCATTCATTAGACTTACGATTTAATCGTAGTGATCTAAGTAATAGGGAACTGAGACAAATCCTACCATTTATCCACCGTTGTCGACACCTTACGATTAACTATGATATCAAAATAGGAAAGATTATTTACATTTTACAAAACATGCGTTACCTTCAAGATCTACGTTTTAAAATGCCTCCAACATGTAAATCAAACTTGGGAACCGAACTAGAAGAACGAAAAATCTTTCTAACTTTCAATTGCTTTCTCACTAGATATGGACGTGAGTATTATCACTGTAGGAAATATTCACATTTCGAAACTGCCTTGCGACCCACGAAAAGCAATAAGCGTTAGGATTGATTTTTTTGTGATGTCATGTTGTTGTAATAAAAGCGAAACGTTCGTGACAAAGAGCGTCATCTAGATATCTTACACAGGACTCTATGCTTTTGTGTATATTCATCACATAATAAATATTTAATGACGTTCTTACCGGGGGACGCTTCAATGCCTCTAACATTACGTGTATCGTTGCATTCGTGACTTTGTCATAACGAATATTTAAATACGTGGTTTGGTTCACCCGAATGTATCAAACATGTCACGCATACGTCGTTTCGAAACAAAACTATTTCGAATACGCAACACGTATCCACGTAGTGTATTAATTCTCCCTCTTCTACTCCTGATTCCTGTATGGATCTATTCGCGTGATGATCGTACTCAAGCACCTGCACCATTGAAAATCACGCCACAGTTACTTGATTTGTTTCGTCAAAAACTTAATAGTTCTCATCGCAATGCAGATATCGAGAGAGTCTGGGGCCAAATAATCGAAAAATTTATACCCTTACCACTCGACTCTTTCGTTGGTTCTCATGCAGTACCACTTCTCGCTTCTATTCTTCTTACCAATGAATCTATTCTTGAACTTGGCTGTGGCAATTCAAGTACGCCAATGCTTCATAACATATCATTCACCTTCAATCGTCACGTTCTATCAGTTGATTCTAACAAAGACTGTTTGTCAGCCTTCTCGTCGATAATGTCAACCAAGTCATTGCATCAATTTCAACATACACTTGACTGGAGTGCTATCGGAAACGATCGTCAGTGGAGTGTTGTCTTCGTCGACAATACTCCGGAGAAGCGTCGAATACACGACATTATTAAATACGCATATAGATCACAACTTATCGTTCTTCACGATTCAGAGAGTGCAGCATATATGTATGACAAAGCTTCTCCATTTTTTCCGTATCAGTATCGATATCAATATTTGCAAGCATATACTGAAGTCTGGAGTACGACCAATGCAGAATTAATTGAAAAAGTTCGATATTTGTCAGAATTGACAGTTCAATGGCAATTACCACGGATGACCATCAAGAAAAAAGACACAGTTTAAAAATATAAACATTGATAAAACCGGCAATTTCACTGCATCATGTGGAATTTGATTTAATAGCTAGAATTTGCTTTTATTTCGAAATTAATACAAATTTTTGTACTCGATGATTGTCACAATCGGAAACACAGAAATATCCTTCGGAATCAAATGATATACCTCTAGGACACGATAATTGATCCGTTCGACTGTCTTGATCGTTGCCACCAGCAACAACTTCACCTTCCCTTCCGCCTTCACACCAACGCACAACTCGATGATTGCTACAATCAGTAATATATATCTGACCATAACAGTTAACGGCTAGATCCTGAGGACATTATAATTGATTCAGTTGATTTTCTTCACCATTGCTTTCAGCTACAACAATTCCTTCTCAAAGATATTACATCCATTTCATCTGATACGTTAACCGATTGATCTTCGTCGACGAAGATCCCGGTAGGATGATCGAGTTGATTTCGCTGATCTCCACAATTGTTTCCGCCAGCGACTAGTGCTCCAGAATTTTCACCTGTTTGCCAGCAGCCTACTTCGCTAACTTTAGTGTTTGAAACATAAACAAGTACATTCGCATCCAATGATACTTGTTGGACTGAGCTGATCTGTTTGATTCTCAAACTCAACAATCTGTCCTTGGCGCGCTTTCGATGTCCATCGTACAGCGCGATGATTTCCTCTCACCATAATGAAGATCGATCCATTTCTATCAGAACCGACTCCATAAAGATAATGAAGTTGATTTAATCTATCTCCATGGCCCATCCATTCAGCAACAGTCTGTACAAATCTATTCCATTCTTGTTTTCCATTGTATAAACATGTGTACTTGTGTCTCAACATCGAAGTTACATGTGGAATTTGCTTATCATTGGATTCTTCTATGACTCCATTTATGACTACAGTCATAATCATTCGAATATCTTCATTCGGTGTACTCGAATGTCTCAAAAGATGTTTCGTAAACAGTCCGTTCTGTGTTCCATCATCTGCTGTTGTTCCCGGCGCACATGCAAATACAGTTAATGATCCAAGTTTCGCCGGCACCGATTTTAATCCACGTGACTGTTGACTTTGAACGCTTCATGCGAATTTCTGTAATTCGAAATTACGTAAATGATATGTCGGACAACAAACCAGGAAACGTATGGTCAGACATAAAGTTTTCTATCATTGGGATTATTTAGAATCGTTTGTGCATTGGGAGCATGAATTGATAGTTCTGAGCCACTAAGTGCTATTCTCATTCTCGCACTATCTTTCGTCTTTTCAACAAAGTCATCCAATGGAAAAGTTAATAAAGACAGTATTTCTCTAACCATCTTCATACCTCTCACTGTATTCCATCTTTCTTCTATCAAACATTCAAAATCAATTAAACAACGACGCATTTCTCGATAAGTTGGATTCAGCTGTAGTCCATCATCATGAATGGGAAATCCCATTGTTTTTAATGTTAAAAACATCGCCTGTGCATCAGTGACAGCATTGATTAAACTTATGCTTTGTTCATAATTACTAACACCAATGACAATCGCTAGCTTGCGACATGCATTTGCCAAAATCAAACTACTGTCTAATTACTTTAGTCATGAACGAAATTATTTCAAATTGGAAACTTTTGTTTCATTTGTGTGTTCGACTTTCTTCAATATTGTTGTTTTAGTTATAAACAAAAGGAAAAGGAAGAAAAACAAACGCATGCCTTGTGTGTATTCATAAACGATAACATATTTCGTGTTCTCGACTTCTGACGAACATAGTTATAAGAGAGAGCTTCGACGGCTGTAGTTATTACAGAACGCAAAAAGACATCGTTTTTTTCCAACAAGTCATTAGCTGTTTGCTGGGTACGTCATAATCTCCACAAGATGATGGGTTGAAAATGGCCAACGCGTCTTATCAAATGTAAATACTTAACATAATATAGTCGTATATAAAATAGGAAAAAAATCACGAATATGGTTATTGTAGAAAAAGCATAGTTGCACATTATAGTCTATACGTCGTGGTAATTATTTATTTTGCTTTAACATAACAAAAAATGAAGGTCTTCATTCGAAAATCAACTGGTACCGGTCGCACTTACGAATTTGATGTTGAGCCGTCAATGACAGTAGCTGAATTGAAAGCAAAGTTCTTAGAGAAAACCAACGACCAATCCGATACGCAACAAACTTATTTTGCATTTGATGGTGAAAGACTCTTCTGTAAAAATGATACACTAGCGAGTTGTGGCATAGATGACGGTTCAGAATTAGATGCATACGTAGGAAACACATCTAACATGCGCAACATCGGTAGTATGGGGATCAAATTCATTGATGTTAGTAACAAGAAAGGTTTGAAAAGAGTCGAATGGTTAAAAACAGCTCCGAAATGGCGTCAAACTCGGCATGGATTGTGTCTCGAGGGCATATGTACCAATACAATATGTGAAGCTAATGGAAAGCAAGTCATAATACCGATTGGATATATGAAGTTTGATATAGTTGCCGATCCAGATCCAAAACTAACGAAGTGCCCTTTATGCGAAGAATTTGTGGAACCTGAATCATGTGCTTTTAATAATTGCTGGTGGAGATACCAAGGAAGAAAACAAACTAGAGACAAAAAAGCTCCCATCGATTGTGAGTGTGATTGGCAACAAGTGGATAATGCATATCATTATTTTGATGATGAGACAACTGGACAAGTTGTGTGGAGAAAACTTACTGTTGAAGCAAGAAGAGAGAAGCCAACATAAGACATTGATTTGCTTTTATTTGTAAATGGAGTGGAAGTTTCTAAAGTATTTTTATTTTATTTCATTACCTTTAAATAGAAGATAAACGACACATCTATGTTGGTACAAAAATTAAAAGCAGAAGCGTTTGAATACATTGTTCAAATTTAATAGAACGATCGCATTTACCGATATTTATCGGCGGATCACAGAAATAATTATAATAAAAGATTTCGTTCTCCATACATTATCCTTCATCAGTATCGTGAATAGTAGATACATAAGAGTGAAATATCTAGTTGTATTTCAAATAGCGTAGAAACAACTGTTTGGAACATAATCTCAGAAACACTAACATCGTTGCAATGAAGTTATTTTTGTCTAGACGACGATACTTTCACGTTGAAGTACATAATTAATAAAAATGCCTTCTGTATTTACGCACAAATAGTACAACTGTGTCTAATGACTGTATCAATTCTTCAAATCTTCCTTTTTAGAACTCATCCTTTCATGTAGAAGTGCGCAGAGTCATATCAGGTTTATTTTGAAAGGTTAATTTACAAATGTGTGCTTTCTTCTGCTAATTAGAATCGTTGTACTTCAGATAATGCGATGATAAAGTAAGAACTTCTGCAAAAGTTGATGCCAAAAAATATCCACGGGCGCCATGTAATATATGAATGTCTGTCAATAATCTAACTGTGTAAAATTCGATTGAGATGATTGCTTGTCATGATATAAAGGTGAAACGAGCGTATTTTGTCACAGTAAAAGATCATGAACACTGCGTTGAAAATAAGATTATCTACAAAACGACGTTCGCTACTTTTGCCAACTGCCAATGTGAGCGTCGAAAATCATCGAAACAAACTGAAAGACAATGATTTCTAGCAATCTTCAGAATACTGCGATCGAATTCTGTTCCTATTGTCCTTGTTGCTTTCATGTAACGGATATTCTCGTAGAGGTTGATGCCGAAATGAAAGATTAGCAGTCGCGATCCGAAATATTGAATGGAGAATAACCGAATCTTGTCGATCTATATGCATTTTTTTCTTGCAGATGATGACAAAAAATGATCCCATTAGCTGTCAACCATGAACCAAATCACAAGACTAGTAGAATCGTGTGATTTGAAAGCCTATGCTAACAGGTGACAGAACACACATATACGTCAGTGAGAAAGCAGCCAGAGTGGACGCCAATAAGTATGGTACACATGGAGATGAACACCGTTGATTTCGATTAGTGAAGATGCCGAGGTTGAGTAATGTGCTAATGAGTAGGTAAGTGATACTCGAATAAGAGAGTAGATAGGTTTTGATTTTATCAATATTTGTGGCTTGAGGATCGATTGTTAACGAGTTACTCACTAATGTCGAATTAGAAGACAGGAAAGAAGTGCATCAACTCGTTTTTCTTTCGGCACTGTGCACTTGAACTAGTAGTGACATGTTCATCACTTGTCATCTTTGAATTAGTGAACAATAATAGATCAGCAGACCAGACCTTTGAGGGAAGTATTGATAGTTTTGCCGTGTTCATGTGAAAGAATGTTGTGATAAACAGTTGTTTGCTTTAATTGTGAAACTACCTTTCATTGAGTACATGATTTAACGAAATAAAGTCGTAGTAGTTGTGACAAATGTATGGCCAGCACTCCATGATTCAGTCATGGATTGTTGTCGGAAGTCCTCTTACTTACGTATGCCATTTGATGTAGCTTATGCTCAGATAAATTTAGTTTTGATTCAAGGATACTACGCTTTAGAGAATCAGATGACAAATGAATAGGTCTTCCTGATGATTTCTGCATATGTAATCTTTTTCTTCTCTTTCTAAAATTATTCTTTAACATATCTATAAGATTTCCACTTGAATAAGAGATTATATTTGCAATGTAAAATTGTTGCAGTCATTAATTAAAGAAACCAGGGATATGCCTATCATGCACGTTGATTTATGGAGACTTGCAATATTTAAACCGCGTAAGCATATCTTTTCTTCTCTTACTTATGTTTTACTCAAAACATCACTACATTCATTAGTATATGACAACAACAAAATAATCTCTAACTCTCTGCAGGTACAATCACGTTGATACAGCGCATTCTCGTGATAAAGCCCTTGAGTATTTTTCGGAAGTGGTAACTCGTCAGCGTATAGATATAAAATGAGCACATTTTGTCACAATAAAAAATCATTAATGTTGCATTGAAAATTAAATTTTCTATCGAACGACGTAGATTGCTTTTGCTAATTGCCATCGTCGCTGTTGAATATAATCGAAATACGATGATTGGTAGTGAGCATAGAAGAAGTACGATAACCTGAAACACGATCATCTTCAAAATACTTCGATCGGCTTTTTGCTTGTTAAGTACGTGGCCTTGTTGATGAGAAGAAATCGTCGCCATTTGATGAACATTCTGATAGATTTTGATGCCGAGACAAAAGATTAGTAGTGGTGGTGCGAAAAATTGAATAAAGAAAAGAAGAATTGTGTCAATGGTAGTACATGGTGTGTTCTTAGCTGAACAAGGTGCAGCAGCCATTACCAGGGGTCCATCAAAGCAGTAAAATATCTGAGCATAGGCAACTGAAATGCAGAATGTGATCGCCAATATTGTTCGACGACTGTTTCGATGAGAACTCATTTGCCGGACACATGCTTTTCTTGATGATGACAAGAATCGATCCCAGCAGCTACCAATCGTGAACCAAATCACAAGACTAACAGAAACATTCGCGATATAAACTTGAAGTTTACATAGAATCGGAATATAGTAGAATGGTGTTATTCGAAAGCCTATTCCTATACGCGATAGAATAGATACATACATCAATGGCAAAGTTGCCAGAGTAGACGCCAACAAGTATGGTATACATGGAGATGAAGATCGGTAATTTCGATCAGTAAAGATGTAGAGGTTAAGTGACGTACCTATAGTACCGATAAGTAGATAAATGATGCCCCAATAAGAGAGTAGATAGTTTTTAATCGTATCGATGTTTGTCACTTGAGAATCAGTTATTGCCGATGAAGTATTCATTCTTGGAAATGAAATCTAGAATAGCATATATGCTTGTTAACAAATGAGAAAAAGTTTTCTGTAATGTAATGTAATTCAAAAGAATACCCAGTTTCTAATAAGATTCGTCTACATGAATTTTTCATAAGTTGGATGACGCACTTACACATAAGAAAAATAAGAAAGATCTCGTTATTAAAAAACGCATGGTTTTGAGAAATGAATGGTATGTTATAATTCACTTTGGTATCGATGTTCTATCGAGCATATGTTCATATAATTATAGCCAGAACATATCGCAAGGTACGGTAAAAAGTAAACCTTTCGATCATACTAATTTTCAAGAGACCTGTATTCATGGAAATCTAATTACAGGAGTAGATACTCTTATGCTCGGCACGCTTTCTATCGTTTAGTCTCACTAATGTAGAAGTTCTTTAAACTTCTAACTCAATGTGTTATTCTACTCTATCTGATGAAAACTATGGTTGTTTGTAAAAGTAAGCTCAATTTCCATTTGTAATTAAAACCTGCTGTAGTAGTATATGCGTGATTAGGTTTGTGAAAAGAATTCTTTTTTTTTTTGTTGAAAGTGATATTTAATTTCCTTGATGTGGTAATGCTGATTCTCACCAAAGGATAGATTGAAAACAAGGACTTGTAAAATCAGTAAATTAATTTAACTATGAGGAAGTCTACCGTTCACTTACTTTGGTGTTACTGTATAGCAACTAAGAACGATTTTTTAGTCTTCTACCTATGAGAGAGTACCTACCCTTATGCCATTTAATAAGTCAGTGAACGGTTAGAAATAGTAAATACTTAACTGCGCACAAGTGTATGAATGTAATATAAGCACATAAAAAAGGAGGGAATCCCCTTTAAAACCGTAAATTATGAAAGATCAAATCTTCTGTCTGAATAATGACGTATTTAATATTCGTTGCTTTGTTATAATCAAACTACTAATGAATACGTCTACTATTTTACAATTCTAGACAATACATTCCTATTGAGGCTCATCCAGTAAAATGCGAATGTGCAATGAAGACAGGTTATTTGAACTGATTCTGGCTTTTGCAGTAGTCGTAACTGACTTGTTCGTCGTCATTTTTTTTCTCTTTTCAGAATTATGTTCCCTTCGTGAAAACAAAATGAGATAAGAAATAACTCATTGTAGTCTGTCCTTTGTGAGATAAAGATATGAGAGTAGCATCTTTCAGTGACTTTTTCCGTTCTTCCGCTCGTGAAAACTTGGAAATTTCCAAGCGGGTAACCACTTGTGACAATAGTACAAAAACCCATTGTCACACAAAAACATGAAGCGAATCAAATTATGGACGGTGCTCGATATCGTTTCTTTCAAAGCATACACGATGAGCTTCAGCTGGCCTGTGACAACCCGAATGGGCATTTGCGTTTAATACGAAAATGTAGAGAAGTACAATCCAAACTAAAATCTTATCCAGATCCAGATTACTTTCCATGCAGATTTAATTCTACATGTCATGAGAGAGTTGAATCCGTTTACCAAAATTTTTTATCACTTTTAACTGATAACGATCCAGATGCTGACTTAAGAGAACTCAATCCAATCAGAATAACTAACGATGGCAGCGCCTTGTTTCGATCTGTGGCATTATCACTCGGCCTCAACTCAGAAGAAGATGCACTTGAATTGAGGGTTCGATGTTTGGTGGATGCAATTGTAAATAAAGACGAATACAAGCGAGAAGACCCAGAACTGCTGGAAGGATTAGATGATCCCGAGCAAACCACTATCGCTCACTGGGCACACTTAATCACAGAAAAAGATTGCGTAAGCTGTTTTGGCAGTAGGAAAGAAACAGTTCTATATTGATTCCAAAACTTTTTAGATGATTGAGCCGAACGCAATTACAGTACTCACACTTGTTAGCTTGGCAAAACTTACGAAACATCCGATTAGATCAGTTTATTTTCCGCGAATGTCTACAGAACAACTATCTTCAGAAGATTCAAGTCCCTACGAAAAAATAAATCGAGTCTTTTTACCTAATGCTGATCAAAATAACGAAAGCAGAATTCAAAGAAGATCTATCACTATTCTTTGGAAATCGGAAGTAGATAAGAACAAGCGCGCTTCTATTCATGTATTGCCCTTACTTCAGAACGATCTATTCGTAAGTATAATGTAGTAGCATTTCGTGAGAGAATACAAATATTCGTGTCCGTAGCGCGGAATAGCAGAAATAATAACCACATCTGAATTTTCACTGGTATTCTATTTTAGTGCAACATGAGAAAACAATCTGGCCTGTTAGCGCAAGGAACAGACAATATCAACAGAACGACTCTTGCATCGCCTTTGCCGATATTAAAAGCACGTTGTACTTACGTTCTTATCGCTTTCACGATGAATTCAATGAGAGAATCGGACGTTATCCAACACAGCCAACAAATGAAGACAAATATTATCGAATGTCTAAAACAGCGTGCGAAGGATGCTAAAAATGGTGATGTTATCGAAGTCAATCAATGCGATGAAAAACTTCCACATTCACCGGTCATACCATTTTGTCTCACTGTGGACGTTGCTTCCGAACAGAATTTATCGCTCATTAAAGATATGAAACTGATTCGATCCAAGAGAACTGATCTCATAACCTGTATTTTTGCCGCTACGAACAAAATGGCCAAGAAGTCAACCTATTATTCCGATTTGATTTTATTTGCTGATCATTCAAATTTGTCTGCAATGGAAATAAGTAGTCAAAGAAATATTATCTGCGTCCTTGATCGAAAATACAATGTAAATGTACAAATGATTGATACTAGAAATGTACTGGCAGATGAAAACACATCTTACAATGCTCAGCACACATCCGATATCAATAGTTCTTGTACTCGCAACAATATGTCTCGATACCAATCAATCGGTATTATGCGGAAAATAAGCATAATATACGGCAATCTTATTTCTCGACGAAAAAACAAGCTTAGCCAAGTTTCTGTAAGAAGTGTGTCTTCGGGTAAAGTCGAGCCACAAAGAGTTCGGTCAAAACTAGACTATATCATTATTGATTCTTCGATCGCCGAACAGAATTCAGATTCCATCCCAACAATTAGATATACATCAAACAAGGCGCAACATTGTGTGCCGACGACAACTCTACAAGAAATAATCCAAAGCAGACATTTTCCTCATAGATAATTCAGTCAATTATTTATGCTCCATATACTGTGTGTACATTGTACCTTTGTTTATAACTTCCTAACCCATACAGTTCAAATTCAACTGAGTTTTATTTCCAAAATAAACGTGAAAAATATTCGAAATTATATTTCTTTTTCCGGTTCCTATTCAAAGCTAATTTTAACTTATTCACATGCGAAACTCTGCCATCTACAAAAATTACTCAAACAACACAATGTAAGAAAAAAGAACATCAGTAATTCTTTCCGTTTTCTTCTGTCCAAGGCTTCTTCAACGTTGTTGCCTTCTTACTTCGCGCTCGATATCCCAAGTCTTCTTCTGACAGTGGACATACGATTTCTACTTCAAAATAATGGTTCGAACGATGATCCATGTTCATTTCGATCATTCGATTCCAGTTCTTGTAGTGACGATCCAGATATGCTCGACGATTCTTCTCACCACCAATCGCCCACAGATGAAGATGAGCGAATGGAACACGTTCGAATGCATTTTCCCAGTCGGACTTCGTCAGATAGTATTCAGGATAATCATGAAAAGCCACATCTTGCGCCAGAACATAGCGTTGCAACTGTTCATTCCAACCAATGGCAATGAGATCAAGAAATGGCCATTTACTAGTCCACTGTCGAACACCATCTGTCCAAAGATCGGGTGCAAGACCTGGACTATCTTGGTGAGTGACTTGTAGACCCCATCCTGGAACATCGATGATTTCGAGACCGTATTCAGCGAACTGAGGAGCGAGTGCTTTGATTTGTGGAATATCATCTTGGAGAATGTCGAAGTCGGCATCATTATCATGTTTGATGAGACCGCCATGTCGAACAGCACCTAGTAGAGTACCACCTTCGATGGTGTACCGAATATGATTTCGATTGAAAAGACCGTCGGTAACTTGGACGATATCGTAGAGTTTGTCGACTTCATCGTCAGTCAGTTTTTCTTTGTCCAATCGTTGTCTCATATTTGCATAGTTATCAGCACTATTGGTGCGTTCGATGTCCATTCGAAGAAGAAGCGAATGCATGATGGTTGAGAATAAGTATGTTTTTTGTTTTGTTCTAAATCAGTAAGAAGTGTGTAATAATCATAGCTTCAATCGAATACTATCTGTGAGTAATGACCTATTAAATACAAAGAGAAGGAGGGACGAATGAAAAAAAAACATGTAACTATGTGAAGGAAGACGCATATCATCTTCTAACACCATCTAAGTATTGAATTCATACTATGAACATGTATATATAATAGTGAAGACTTCAGTACATTTTCAAATGCCATCTAGGGATTGAAAACCTGTTCGTTCTATTGTAAATAACGTGTCTATGGGAAAATGTTGCCATTTACGTAATCAACTGTTATTTTATTCGTGTACAAAAATAGACACATAGACTCCATATTTGCCGTTGTCTGCACTTGAAGAGCCTTTCTGTAATACGCGAATTAATCTATGTTCCATCGCGACAGGGTGGGTGAAGGTATTTCGTTCTGATTCGTATTCACTACTGAAATGGATAATCATCTTAGTTATTATGGCAGAATATACTGCAAAAGAAGATAATTTACCATCTGATGGATGCAGTGCTTCAGACGATTGTTCGTTTTGTTTAAATTTTCATTCTCTTTTAGTGAAATAAAAGTGTGCGTACTCGTTTTTTTGTAGATGTGTTTGTTCAGGTTGCTTTTCAAACAGTTGCACTCAATTTGAAAGAAATAAAACAATACATAAAAATCAAGGAGAGCTGTTTTTAGTCGACGATGTGCAAGTATACAGATAATGATGATTCCATGTATTCAACACAATCCACGCCGACAAAAAGCCGCTGGTAGATTACGACCTATTAAATCATCAAAATGTGTACGGCAAGTCGTTGTTATGGATTTCCACCTACCAGTCAATCCAACATCTCAGCGCGATAGAATATGCGCTAGTTTTCGAAAGTATCGATCGTCAGTTCATCATTAGTCAAATCAATTCAATTCTCAAGCAGAATGATACTTCAATATACGTCGTAAATTCAATGATAACCAAAGAAGCAAAACTGCATTGATCATTGCTGTTCCTCAACCGCATCATCCATCAAAATATGAAGAACAGCCAGGGCTTTGCTTCGCAACGTAACATTACCATTTGGAGAATGGTAGCATTTTACTTCGTATGTGTCGCTAACAATAGTCTGATCGAAACCACCATCAATGCCGGTGTAAATGCAACGACATTGACGGAAGAAAAAGTAGCAGCTTCTGTTTTATTCAACTTTTTTGTTACTACTAGTTGTTTTCATTTTTTGCTTTTTTTCCAGTATGATTTCATATTTCTTTCTCTTCGTGATCTCATTTTTTTCTTCTCAACGAAGGTATATTAGGGCGACATCGCCTCACCTGATACTCCTTCTCATCTTTGCATGGGTCAACCAGTGTATTCACTAGACTCAAATCTTTGCGATTTTTGATTGTTTTCAAAAATTTTCTCGACACTCATGAACGTTACGCAGCCGCCCAGAAGCAAGTGAGCTCGCTTTGTATAGCCTCGATTTGTGTTATCTTCTCGATGTTTTATTCTACCCTTTGCTGTCCACACACTCATATATATATACATAAGACACGTTGATTTTTTACATAAGGTAGATAATACACGTAGGGTACCTTCGGGCAGGATTCGACATTTTCTTGAGCGGATTCGTTTCAGCGTAGGTTCCAACCACAACTTGATATGCTCTATCGGTTCCAGAAACGTGCTTTCTTCACTCCTGAAACCTAAAAAAATCTGAAAAAACACCCAAAACTAGATAAAAACCGGAGCGGATTCGTTTTACAACCACCGATCGCGATTTTAACACCGGTTCCAGATCAAACTCGACGAGTTCTATCGATTCCAATCATAAAAAATTTTCACACGCACCCTCAGGCATCTTAGATATTATAGGAAAAAATATCTCAGAAGGATGTAAACTAATATTTCAAGAGTCAGCATTACAAAGAGTTGTTTGATGTTTATGTGCAAAACTGTTATGATGAAAAAGGTTTTTTTTGCAATTCCTCTTTGTCAGATAAAGATATTCTGTTCTCTTTCTCTTCCATTACACACCTTTAATACTTCACGGTGACTTGTTTTTTATTCAAAATTATAAAAAGTGAGATATTCTATTCTTTTAGTTCAAAACATGACATCTCAACAGTTCAAATGTACAATATGCACTAAAGACATTGATTGCTCGGTTAAACCTAAAGTTATTGAGAATAATGTAGGTTTTATCACGAAATGCTCTTTGAAAAATAAATTTTGACGCCTCCTTTTGTTGTAGATCTGTTGCAGTGATTGCATTAAATCCCCGAATTCTAACAACAAAATACCACTAAAACCACAAAACACAGCTGCTTCCAGTAATAAACCACATCGCGAAGAAAGTAATAAGGTAGATTATTTCGTTTGTTATTACTCATTGTTTACATTCATATTCTCTTACTAAAAAAGTCTAAGACAAAAATATGATGTAATATTTTGTTTATTTTAGACACCAACTTGTGAGAATAATCAAGCATTCTTCACGGACTGCACGGGATGGAAGGCAACCATCATACACTGTGAACGAATCAGGGATAATTAAAAATGGACGCGCACCTCCGCTTGTTACTGATCATCCTAATTCTGTTGAGTTTGTAGAACCTGACGTACATTCCATAATTGCAGAGGCCGATAACATATTTCATGATTTGAGAAAAGATATGAATATTGTTGTATGTGGTCCACCAAGGGCTGGAAAAAGCACATTAATTAACGACATATGCGGACGAGAAGTTTGTAGAACTGGTGCTGGTCTTGCTTCTATCACGTCAGACATCACTTGTCATACTACAAAAGGACAATTGGATACTGGATAAAAAAAATCAATTATCAGTACAACTTTTGAGATACACCAGGATTTGAGACCTGGTCAGACACAAAAATTCAAGCGAAAGTAGAAGATATTCTGCAAAAGCCTAACTCGAAGCCTCTTTGTATGATATTCTGTGCAGCACCAAGTTCATTCGTGAGACTTGAACAGCTACAGTGGCTTCTACATTTATGCATGAAAAAGCATATATTTTGTGCTTTGGTTTGTACATATATGTACGCAGGTGACATAAGCAGTCGAAAAGCTGTTTTAGATATAACTATGATAAACTATTACCAAGATATATTACTGATTTACCAAGAGAAGACAACGGCGTAAAGTTTTGTGCTAACATTGGTTTGACTATTGCTATCAATAGCCAACGATTTAAAACCGATGACGGTGAAAAATCTGTAAGCGGTGTTAACGAACTTATCAATGGCGTTATGGAATCATTAGTTGATGAAAAATTAGTAGAATGGCTCTTAGTCGTCCTGGAAAATAAAGGTTTTTTGGATAAACACTTGAAACTAGGTCGCATCGGACGTTTCACTTCGAGAAATTTCAGACGTATGAAAAACAAAAGTTTCATATAAATGAGAATGGAAAAGTTAAAATAAAACATCCAGATAGAAACTGACCAAACAAATATATCTGATTTTATGTAATATGAAAACAGACGACTGTTTATTCGAGAGATTTTACTTTGTCATGACCAAATAAAAAGTTCCAAAGATCAAATACGAATTCAACGAAAACGAAATGTCGCCCAAATATAAATATGATCACTACCAAACGTTTTCAACGATTGTTCGAGTGTGTGATCCGGTGTATCCCAAGCTTTGCCATGATCGATTGCTTCAAGTCGAGTAGGATCATAGACAATATGATCAATGTCCATATTCACCCAGATATATTTTGGATCAGAATAATATGTAGGAACACACGCATATTTGGATGTTTCATGTATAGCATTCTCGTAATCAATCCATTCGAATTCATAATGATCTTTGATTTCAGCATTCAAATCACCGGCCATAAGAGATATCGGTTGTTCATTGCCAAGTAGAGCAGTACATCGATTACGAATCATTCGGGATTGTTCAGCGCGATGATGGTAATCGAGATGAAGGTTAAGTAAAACAAGATTTTTCGACGAAATAGTTATGATTTGAATAGCATCACCTCGTTCTAAATCAAGTATGCCACTAATAATTTTCACTTCCGGTGCATAAGAATATTCCTTGCGAATTAAAGTGAGGAGTCCATTTGCTTTATTGCTTGCTGTTGGATTATTCGAAATGAACTCGAATGAGTAGATATCACTTAATTTCTGTTTGAATAAATCTAATTGATCTTCTTGTGCTTCTTGAAGCATGACAATATCACGATTCAGTGAACGAATATGATCGACAATTAATGGTAAACGAGTTCGTTCATCAGCAGCTAAATCATATGTAGAAGGATACCATTCTCGTGGTACCCAACATGGAGCCAGAATATTCCAACTCAATAAGGATAAATCATGAGGCGATGATAATAACGTCGACATACTTTCGCATAGAACAATCTGACATCAATAAAAATAATAGACGAGATACTTATTCTTATATCTAGACGTAGAACTAGTTCTATCCAATCAGAAATGTGCTGTCAAATTAAGTTCTAATTTTTATGTGATAATTCGAAGTCTAAAGATATCCTATTCTTATTTCTTTTCTGCTGAATTTATTTGAAAAATATTTTGATTGGCAATTACAACTATCTTCATTCTATTCACATGTGAAACTCACGCCATCTATAAAAATTATTTAAACAGCACAATGTCAAAAAAAACATCAGTAATTCTTTCCGTTTTCTTCTGTCCAAGGCTTCTTCAACGTCGTTGCCTTCTTACTTCGCGCTCGATATCCCAAGTCTTCTTCTGACAGTGGACATACGATTTCTACTTCAAAATAATGGTTCGAACGATGATCCATGTTCATTTCGATCATTCGATTCCAGTTCTTGTAGTGACGATCCAGATATGCTCGACGATTCTTCTCACCACCAATCGCCCACAGATGAAGATGAGCGAATGGAACACGTTCGAATGCATTTTCCCAGTCGGACTTCGTCAGATAGTATTCAGGATAATCATGAAAAGCCACATCTTGCGCCAGAACATAGCGTTGCAACTGTTCATTCCAACCAATGGCAATGAGATCAAGAAATGGCCATTTACTAGTCCACTGTCGAACACCATCTGTCCAAAGATCGGGTGCAAGACCTGGACTATCTTGGTGAGTGACTTGTAGACCCCATCCTGGAACATCGATGATTTCGAGACCGTATTCAGCGAACTGAGGAGCGAGTGCTTTGATTTGTGGAATATCATCTTGGAGAATGTCGAAGTCGGCATCATTATCATGTTTGATGAGACCGCCATGTCGAACAGCACCTAGTAGAGTACCACCTTCGATGGTGTACCGAATATGATTTCGATTGAAAAGACCGTCGGTAACTTGGACGATATCGTAGAGTTTGTCGACTTCATCGTCAGTCAGTTTTTCTTTGTCCAATCGTTGTCTCATATTTGCAAGGTTATTAGCACGATTGGTGCGTTCGATGTCCATTCGAAGAAGGGGCGAATTCATAATTAATACGAATGCGTTTGTTTTGTGCAATGAATCAGTAAAAAATACGTAATACCAATAGTATTAATCGCCTGTTATTGTGTTGTGATCGTCTATAAATATATCAACGAAAAGATGTACGTATATATACATGCACTTGATTACGCATACGCTGCAAAGCATGATAAAAAGGTCATATGGATTGAAATTGAATTACGACTTACTAATCATTTATGTGCACTCCACACTGTCATAAAATCTCTTATCATTTCTTATGATTTCTCCTGACTATTTTATGTTTAAATGTAGATATAACTTCGCATTGTAAATCTATACAACTCGATATTTTTATGGGATAGATCTATTTCCATCGCGCGTGTACCATGTACACTGAGTAGAAAGAGAAAAAGGCTTCGTTAGATAAAAGGAAGAAAAAAAGAATATATATGACGTTGGTGATACGTAATAACTAATTAGTAATATCAACTGGTGAGAGAGAGAAAAGAAAGAAAGGAAAAAATGAAAGAAAGAGAAAAAGAAATGTGACGACAAAAGAGCGATAACCCCTAATGTATAAATAAAATCGAAGAATCACACACAAAGAGCGACAAATAGTGCCGCGCATCAATCACAGAATATGTCAACGGTACGTGCAAAAACTTGTATACTGTTAAAATGCATTTAAGACGATGGACGCGGGTCTATGAAGAGAAACTTTAAAGAATACATGCTTATCTTGTCTTACTCTCAACAAATATGTGCGTGTAAATCTTTTTGATTGAGTGTATTACGTGAATATATTCTCTATTTGAAATAAAATATGACGAAACAAAAAACGATAAAAACTAAATATCGTATTTGTTCAGTTCGGACAATGATTAAAAAGAACCTTGATAAGTCCTTCGTAGTAAGTAACGACAGCAATATCTTCCCATCCGTCATTATTTAGATCTTTAAAAGCAACCCAATTCGGTCGAGAATCATAACCGAGTGGATACCATGTTAGATTAACAAAACGTCCGTTGTTTGTACCAAGAAGAAGAGCAACGTTGTTTGCACCGTAGTTAACTACCGCAAGATCTTTTTTCAAATCTCGATTGAAATCACCGACAGCTAGACAGACTGGCTTCGCATTCTCACCCATTCCATAACTCAGTGAAAGAACAAATTCACCATTTCCTACACCAAGAAATATAACAATCGTATCGCTCATTGTATTAGCCACAATAATATCGATAATCGAATCATTATTAAAATCGCCGGTAACTAGAGATGCTGGATATGAATCATTTCCGGTGGAGTAGAGCGTTACGTTTGAAAATAAGCGTTTCCCATAGCCTAAGAATACACCAATACTATTCGAACCACGATTGGCAGTGGCAATATCTAAGTAACTATCATTATTAAAGTCTGCGACAGCCAATGCACTCGGAAGAGAATTTTCACCGACATTGTAGGATGTTGTTTGTCCGGTGAATGGTTTCGTACCATTAGCAAGATAAATTTGAACATAATTATTACCGTACTCAGCCAAACCAATATCTAAATAATCATCGTTATTGAAGTCACCAAGAGCAACGAAACCTGGAATAGCTGCAGTTTGTTCGACAGGTATCAATGATATACTGGCAAATGTTCCATCTGCATAACCAAAAAAGACACCCATGTATATACTATTCGAGTCAATGACAATTATATCCAACTGATTGTCATTATTAAAGTCACCGACGTTCAATTGCTCGGGATGAAGATTACTCCCAGTTGAAAATGTACGAATATGATTGAAACTGCCATTGTGAAATCCATAGAAGATAACAATTGTGTATGTACCATAATTTCCAACGGCCAGATCAACTTTGACATCATTGTCAAAATCTCGAGCAATCGCATGAACAGGAGACGAAGCATCGCCAGTAGATAGAATCAACTGATCGGTAAAACTTTTATTACCGTTGCTAAAAAATATGCGAACTTGATCGATACCTCTATTCGCAACAATAATATCTGGATAAGAATCTTTGTTCACGTCAAAAAGTGTAACTGAATTAGGACGTGAACTTTTGCCGGTATCTAATTGTAGGACGGGATCGTATGTTCCATTGCAATATCCAAAGAAGACGCCAACAGTATTTGTGCCGTAGTTAGCAACAGTCACATCGAGACAATCATCTTGATTAAAATCGCCAGCAGCAACTGAACGTGGACGAGAATCAGTACCGCTTGAAAACAGAACTGGATCAGCAAAACTTCCATTGCCATAGCCTAAGACGATCGCAATACTATTAAGACCACGCTTTACTTCTATAATATCCAATCGTTGATCATTATTGACATCACCGACCGTAACAGCTCGCGGCTGTGAATGGAGTATTTCAGAATAGGTACGAACTGGTGAAAACGAGCCATTGCCGTAGCCGAGAAACACGCCGATTTTTCCTGCATAGTAAAGTGAGACCGTTAAATCTAAATAACCATCGTTGTTAAAATCTCCGATAGCTAATCCATCTGGACTAGAATCTTTTCCGGCATCACATGGAGTTTGCCATGTAAATCGTGTATATTTAAGTCCGTAGAATATGCCAACCGTACCTTGATTCTCATTTGCAACAATTAAGTCTAAATAGATGTCTTCATTTACGTAACCAACAGCAAGAGCAGTTGGGTTCGAATTGGTATCGAGCGTATATGTGAGCTTTGTCGGAAATGTAGCGTTTCCATTACCTAACAGTACTACAACACTATTGTTGTTGCCATCGGTGAGAGCAACATCCAACTCATTGTCTCCATTAAAATCATTGATAATAACATGGCCTGGATTAGAACCTGTGCCAATGGGAAAGGGACTTGCTGAAGTAAAATAACCGTTGTCATGGCCCAGAGCTATGCCGAGATTTTCTCCTCCTGAATTAGCAACAACAATATCCATTTGTGTATCATTATTCAGGTCGCCAATGGCAAACGAATATGGACGAGGACTAGAGCCTGTTGAATAACTGGTTTCACTTTGAAAATTTGCATAGTAGTTTCCTAATAAAATCGGTGTTCGATTACGCGAAGAATCTTGTGCTGGATGGCCAAGTAAGATAGCAATGCTATTTGAACCAAAATTAGCCGTAGCCAGATCTAATCGACCATCTCGATTGTAATCGCCAATGGTGAGCGAATACGGCTTGGAGTCAGGACCAGTGGCATAAGTCCATTGATTCGTAAAATTTCCGTGATGATCTCCGAGAAACACACCGACGTTGTTACCGAACGGATTAGCCACTGCTAAATCGAGTAAGTTGTCGTTATTAAGATCAGCGATACTGATCCAGATCGAACCAGAACTTAACCCGGTTGAATAGAACTGCGCTGTGGTGAAACTTCCATTTCCAAAGCCAAAGAAGACGCCAATACTATTCGTGGCTGAATTAGCCANAATTGCTCTTTCAGATGCTCAGAGGATCAAGAAAGTGAACGAGGTTGACGAGATAGTTGTAGGTATGAACTATTGGCGGGTAATCAGCAAAACACCAGATTCTCTGATCATTCTCATCCACATCGGTGATCAGCCGCCGATAGTATGGATCGTGAACATGTGAAAGTAGTGTTAAAACAATCACGGCTGCAATGACCCATCGTGCTAGTTGTCTGCTTCTTCTTTTGTCGAATTTTGGGCCTGTCATTGTGCTAACTGTTCTCTCGATGGCAACACAAGCAATGATCCACTCATTCGATACTAACAATGACTTAAGAATCATGTCGATAGACTTGCAGCTAAACAAGAGATAATCTCTGTTCTCAATTGTTGCCATGTGTTAGTGTAAATGCCATGGTGACTTCGATGATTAAAGGCTGAGAAGAAAAGGAAATATTGGGTTAGATGTGATAGCTGATGATTGGATCAAGTGGGAGAAGATATCTTTGCGTTGACATTCCACACTTTCCACTATAGAAACAGTCTTGACAAACACAAATCGACACTGTTGGACATTTCTAGTTGTTTTGAAAATATTGTTCATGAAGTATTTTTTTATGTGTATTGCATATCATTATATTCACCACCACCACCACCACATACAAACTGTCGAGGATATCGTGGAGTTCGTTCTTCACATCGAAATATTGACAAGTTTACACAATTGGGATTGTATGACACTGGATTCAAATTGAATTCTCGCTGAACATCGTCGTGTTCATCACTTCCATCTAAACAATCCACACTACTAAGACTTTCCCATGCAAACTCCATCGGAATACATTGACCATTATGACATCGATATTCATTTTCGTTGCACTCATTCCATTCTAGCTCTTCACCATCAAGACAATCGACTTTCTCATCACAAATTTCACGCCAATCCAAGCATGAGGGCCACGATTCATTGTTGCAGCTTTCAATAAAGCCATAACATACTCCGGTGCTTGAGAATGAACTTGATCATTGATCAAACGACTCATAAACAATCTCACTGAATGTGATCGATGGATCATATGGAAACTTATATTGACATTCGCTGCCAAACCATGGTAATGTGCAGTTGTAGAGAAGACTTACATTGTTGATCTTGTATTCTTCGGTAATATCAACTGGTAAAGGACCAACTGAGTAGATGTTCAGCAGTAACTCCATGTTGTATGAATTCTACGGCAGAATGTTGATTACTCGCATATGTCGATTGTTGTTGATGTCGATCTGGTCTTCGACAGTAGGGAATGAGATAGTAGTTGTGAATATAGGGTGCGTGAGTGCTGGTTAACGTTTCATCCATGTCCCAAACAGCATAGAGACAATCATAGGCAAGTGGGAGAATGTGTGCCTCGCTCGAATGATACATGAGATAATGCGCGTCTGTCATGTAAAATAAAGCAGAACAAATTAATATAGGTAGGAAAATTATTTTGTAAATGTGGTCGGTTGTTAACGATGCATCAATTTTTATTATCCCGAGATAAAGTGTACCTAAGCTTCCTTTTTTTTGACGGATAAAGATAATTAACAAATATATCTTTCATTCTATAACCCAAAATCATGAACCGTTTCCAAATAATGGCTTTTACTGATGAACTAAACTTTGCCTTTTCTCTTATTTTATCTATCGACCGTTTTGATGTCATACTTTGTGTCGATTATTTTCTCATACATATTGATTCTGTTTGACAATTCGACGCAGCATGTCAAAATCTATGTGTTTAGCATCTATTTGCTCATATTCAGTTCATATGAACAATGTCTACTGAATTTTTGTGAAAATCGTTGGTGGAGAACGACTGTATGTGCTTTGTTTGAGTCGACTGTTCACTGTTGAATTTGGTATTGTCGATGGATGCACAATAAAGATCAAAACTAGTGCAATACTAATTTTTTTGTCTTCAAAAAAAGAAAGTCATCAAAGATTACTATGCATCATTCAGTTCCCTTTTTTTTTCTTTCTTTCTTTGAAGTGTTAACGTAAAACAAGCGTCTTGGTGTTAATTTACTGAGCGGAAACTGGCGATGACATCAACTGCCGGTTGCGCTATAATGCATTTGTATATTCTATATTAAAAAAAGTGTAACAGAGATAAAATTTAAGACGAGACTTCCAGTTTCACTATGTTCTGTTGCCGAGCCATCGTCGACTAATGATCAAAGAAATTTCTTTTCTGTACTCCAATGGAAATTGTAAGACTAGTCATCTGAGGAAACGTTAAGAATAAACGAGTAGCAACATCACTCATAAGCCGGTTTCTTACGACTTCTTTTGCTCTTATGTAAAAAAGGCGTAGAAATGTTCATTCTCACATCCTGGTTCTTCATCCATGTGATATGTAAGATGTTCAGCGTGGAAGCAAATCTTTAAATCATTTGAATGGTTAGTCGTTATACTTTACGCATTTTCTATCTACTCATCGTCGTTATCATTCTTTTCAAAGTCTTCAACCTTGGTTCGTAAATTGATTAAAGTGAAGTTTCTGTAAACTTGTCAATGTGTGTTTAGGTCTACCGAACGAATTGGAGAGTCCCATCAGCAAGGATTATTCAGTTTACCATCACGACAGTATCGCGTATGACTATTATTCGAAAACTGAACTTCAACAATCAAAAATCGGCTATCAATGGAATATCTGGCCACTCCCGAATGATATAAATCCAAACGATATCTCACCAGCTCATCCAACAAATCTCTCCTTTGTCGATGTGATTTACATAATGACAAATGCTCGCCTAGTCGAACGACATGAGCATCTGAAAAAAGTCTTTCATCGGCAAGGAATCTCCATGTCATCAGTCCAATGGAGAATGAAATGGAATCGAACGACATGCCATTCATCTCTTTCACAAGTTTATGAACGTTTGAATTTAAAAAATCGAGCCTTAACTCACGACCAACAACGACGATGTGCAATCACTATGGAACATGTCGATACCTGGTATGAAATAGCTAAACTGAACATTCGTTTAGCATTAATTCTCGAAGATGACGTCATCTTCGTTCCGTATTTCAAAGAAAAACTTCTTCGTATGATCTCTACCCTTTTCCGCACTGGGGCATTACATTTCAACAAAACCTGTCTAACACGAAAACAAAAACAGATCGCATCGAATGAATGGATTGATCAAAATCCGATGTTTGTCATCGGCACATGTTTCCAGTTTCATGATGAACATTTTCAAAAATCTTCACCCTATGCTTTCCCACTGTTATCCACACAAAAATTCAATGCATCACGATGTACACATGCTTACCTATTAACACCATGCTCAGCTCGAGCACTGATTGAAGAACTTCAAATGCAGAAAAACGACTTTCAGAATTCAGATTTTCTACAGAATTATTTATTTCGTTTATCATCAACACTACAATCATTCTGGATGGATCCGCCATTGGCTTATCAAGGCAATCAAATCCATGACTATGATCATATCAAAACTTTTCGAAGTCAAACATATCTCGATTGATTTCGGAACCATTCGATTGTCTTCTGAATTCCGAGAGAGAGTGATGTCATTCGAAATGTTGGATAAAGTTTGGCGAATACACACGTATCAGCTGTACGACGCAACGGACCATCTTTGTTCGTATCGTTATCGAACTGAATTACACCCTGGTAGTTCATTTGTTGAGCAATCAGTTGAACAAGTTGAGAGATCGAGACTTCTTCTCCGGCGACGATCAACGGCTGATCTTCACTATAGTTTTCTAAAGACCACAGGATAATTCGAGCGAGATCTTCTGCGAACATAATTTGCCGTAGCGGTTGACCTGTTCCCATCATTTGTAACGGAATCGATGGATTTTGATTTTCAATTTTTGCGATCAATGCATTGACAAGCGGTGCTGTGCGCGGATTGAAATCGCCGTAAGCACCAAAGAAATTACATGGTAAAATTGAAACGAAATTGCAATGATATTCAGTTCTATACCATTGAGTTAATTGTGCTAAGGATCGTTTTGCATAGGCATACGATTCAGACGCTGGATGAGGAGAACCGTTGTAAATGGAAGACGTATCAATTGGAAATTGTGCATCTTTCGGAAACATAACTGTCGACAAAATCGAAACTAACTTTATCTGACCGATCCATGTCTGAAATTCATAAGCTGTTTTCAGAATATTATTGTTCATTGTAACGTTATCAAACCAGTATTCGACTGGTTTTGCAGACATTTGCTGAAACGATGCAAGACGTGCAGCACAATGAATAACACGCGTTGGTTGATATCGTTTGAAAATATATTGCACATCTTCGACTCGTCGCAGATCACCATCTTCGCGAGTAGCAAAGATCCATTCAGAATCCTTTGTTCGAATTTTCTGCGGCTTGGAGTCAAGGATTTCTGTAGAAGATGATTGTTCTGAGACAACATCACGAATGTATCGACCTAACATGCCATTACTGCCCGTAACTAACGTGAAATGATAAGGAGAGAATGGAAATGCTAACATGATATCCACGAGTTGTTTGATCACAGCTTGATCAAGAGGAATTTGATGAACACCGACGAAAAAGCCACGCGAATGAATCACTTCCGCACCTGGATAGTTTTCCGGATGTTCTTCCTCGCAGAATGTGGAAATACACGGTTGACGAATAAAATTTCCACTGATAATCGGACGATTTTCGATGCCGTTCTTTTCGAGATACTTCAAAAACTCACATCGTTGATGCGTATACGGACGATGCAGAAGAAAGGCTAAGCCGAACCAAGCAGGATCGATCCCTTCCGAAGCTTCCATCAATGACATCAACGATGAAAATCTTTCATCACGTGAGAGACTTTCTCTAATCAGGCGAAAGTTCTCACGACGATGTCGATTGAATTCATCGAGTTTATCTAATTGAACACTCAACATGGCGCCTTGAACTTCTAATGGTCGAAGATTGTAACCCATATTAACAAATAAAAATCGACAGTCAATATCAGGATATAAATCTTCAATCTGCTGACGATTTGTCAAATGTCTTGTCCAACCATGAGCGCGTAAACAGCGGAGGAAATTGTAATCATCTTCTGTATGACATGTTATCATTCCACCTTCACCACTAGTAATATGATGTGAAAAATAGAATGAAAATGTTCCGAAATCTCCAAATGTTCCTAACATTTTCCGTTGGCTATTTTCATCAATTAAACAATAACTTCCCAACGATTCACATGTGTCTTCAATTAGAAGAAGTTCATGTCGTCGAACAAATTCCATTAATAACTTCATGTTAGTCGAGTTTCCGAGTACATGTACAGCCATGACTGCTTTCACACGATTGGTTAATTTGCGTTCGAGTTCGTATATTGAAATATTGAACGTACGTGGATCAACATCGACGAAAATTGGACGAAGACCGTGTTGAATCAATGGAAACACACTTGTCGACCAAGAAACAGCTGGTATGAGAACATGATCACCTGCTTGGCAATGTTTTGCTCGTAACTTGTTCGCTATTGCTGACACAGATAATAAATTTGCCGAACTTCCTGAATTGACCATCACAGCGTACGGTACACCAACAATTTCTGCAAATTTCTTTTCAGCATGTTCAATTTGTTTGCCTAATGTTAATCGACCTGTTAATAAAACGTCCGTCATGGCTAAAATTTCGTCTTCCCCAAACGGATTCATCGCTAGTGGAAATAAAACTGATACATCTTTCGTTTCAGCTAAACGACGAGCTCTCCACTCATTTACAATGGTCGTTTTCCATTGCGAAGAAGAGGAAGTTTCACTAGTCATGTTCAATAAATGTCTGAAGGTGTAATTTAATGAATGGCAGAAAGAAAGGAAAAGCTTTTTCTCTCTCTCTCTTCTATCGATAGTCACGATTTATTTGCCCGACAGCGTAAGTAGCTTTCCGATTAATGAAGCATACGCCTCATTAGTAACGATCAAATTGGAAAAAGCGAGGCGGATGTGTGTTTAGTTCGATAAATCGATAGAAACTTTTCTTTTTCTTTTTCTCATTACACTTTCTCTAACGAAAAGAACAGTTTGATGATGCAGACAAATTCAATCTGTTGCGACGATATTTCTCAACAGAATTCGAGCACGATTGTTGTCTTAATCATCTATTGTATCTCTGGAACGTTTTTAACATTGTTGAACAAAATTACCGTGGCCCTTTTTCCATATGCAAATCTTCTTTTGATCGTACAGAATACATTCGCAGTAGTTCTGCTGATTTTTTGTTCACGATATTTCCGTTCAGCGTTTGGAGTTTTACCAAGATTAAATCGAACGGTGTTACAACTTTGGATGCCATTGGTTCTTTTGTTTGTTCTCATGTTAATCTCAAGTTTAAATGCATTGATGTATGTCAGTGTCCCAACAGTGATCGTCATGAGGAATTTAACCAGTTTATTTGTCGCATTTTTGGAGTATCTGTTTCTCAATCACAAAACCAATCGCTTGTCAATCTTCATTCTACTCGGAATGCTAGGCGGTGCTGGACTCTATGCAAAACATGATTTCACTTTCAATGTTCAAGGTTATGTTTGGTTAAGTGTGAACATAATCAGTACGAGTGTTTATCAAATATATATTAAGACAATCATTCATTCGGCTTATTTTGAGAATATTGGACCGATTAGAATGTCTTATTATAACAATTTACTATCATTACCTGTACTTTGGATAATTGTTTGTGTAACAGGAGAATTGAGAAGATTAATGATGAATTTTGAACTTGAACATTCTCAGACGATGTTATCGATTATTTTAATATTGATGTCCAGTCTTCTGGGCTTTTCCTTAAGTATCTCAGCATTTGCGTTGAATAAATTAATATCTGCAACGTCGATGATGGTGGCAAACAATGTTAATAAGTTTTCGTTGATTGTTCTTAGCGAAATACTCGTCAAATCAACTCTGGATATCATTGCTTCAATAGGTGCAATTTCCGTTCTCTTTCTCGGCTGGCTGTATTCGCAAACGACCAAATCAGCGTCGAAAAGTTGCTTTGTTATTCTTACCATTATCCTTATTATTTTCGCTGCACTTATTGAAACTCAATATATTAAAACTCTTCGTTTTGGTAACGATGATTATTATTACAAAGATTTCCAACCGATTATGTACAATCAGACGATATCTTATCGATATCCGATGAAAGCGATCACCTCAATGAAGCAACGTCAAGGTTATGACATTTATCGAGCATATTTGCCTCAATCGAACAAAGCGCGTCGTTCAACACCGAGAATCGAAGTCCGACATGTTCAAGATTATCCTCTTCCTGAAAACTGTCGAAATCGGAATGCATCTATCTGGAAAACATGTGATGCTCATCAATGTCAACCATATACCGGATCAATAAATTGGAATTATCCACGAAAAACAATCTTTGGAGAAAATATCACTGAATTTAATAATCGAATATTAGAAATTGCTTGGGGACCGAATCCGCCGTCGATCGATCTCTATCTGCGTGGTGGCTGTCATGGCATCATGGAAATGAAGTATCTCTTCGAAAGCATCGAATTATTTTGGCCAAGATTTCTCGGTTCGGTTATCATCGTACTCGATGTTAGCGATGAACCAATTATGAAATATTTCTTACCGCAACATCCCACACATCATTATCTGGTCACTTTTGAACATACACCTTGTTTACCTGGACGAGTATTCAATCAATATAGTTATTTAAACCTCGATCGACATTCTCGTGCTGAATATATCGTCACAATTGATAGTGATTGTATATTTCATGCGCCAGTTACGCCAGATTTGATTTTTCGTCAAGGAAAAATTATCTTACCGTCATCACAGTCATTTCAACCAGACTTATGGCGTCGACCACTGGAAGCTGTGATGGGCGCAGGAATGTATGATGGGCACTACATGGTCACACAACCAGTTACATTCGCTCGAACAACATTTTTGGAATTTCGAGAATGGTTCTATGAAACCAAAGGCAAATGTTATGAAGATCACTTAGCGCAGCTGTCACCAGTGCATTACCAAGAATTTTGTTGGATGTGTCAAGTCGGTAGTTATTTAGAACGTGGACACGCAAAGAAAAATGATTATGACCGATATTGGTATCAGCATTTTGATAATGAATCGTTAGAACCAATGATACGATTTGCAATCCACGTTCCTTATGAACCATTTTCGGCCAGTGCAGTACAATGCCGAGAAGTGATATGTTATGAAAAAAGTGTTAATGAAATCATCAGACAAGGTCTATGTCGTGCATTTGGCCCATCGATATTTCCAGATTGTCTACATAACATCAATTTTAATTATGTCAATAATGTCACGTTCTCTTACGCACAATTCGAAATCCAGGCAGCGAATAGATCTGCTCGCATTCATGCGTTAAATCAATATTTTCAACGTTTAGCACGTGTCACAATGATTGCTTTAGATCATTGATCATCAGAAATCTTTTTCTTTACTTTGCAAATAAACGAGATGCACATTCTCAAGCAGGGCGACTCCAAGATAAGAGGTAGCATGAAGAGTTAAGCAGCAAAGCATACAAGTATTTCATTCAATGTCCTGATAGAAATGTTGATCGAAATCGAATCAACTGTTTCCGAATTGCACTTTTGAATTCTTTTCGATAATTAGCAGATGGCAGTACAAATGTCGAGAATGTCAAGATCGGAGGTACAAATGATACAAAATATCCAAGAACGTACATCCATGGGTCACGAGGTGTTCTCATACATCCACTCACAAATAGCAGAATTAGACGAGGTGTGCCCAACAAAACTAACATTAGTGGAGATATCAATAAATGTTTGTGTCGATATAATTGCTCTTTCAGATGCTCATCAAACGATTTGTTTCTTTGGGCATGAGATCGACTTCGAGTGACTAAAATGATGATCATAATCGCTGAGATTATGTTGATGATGAGAGGACCAAGAAAGTGAACGAGGTTGACCAGATAGTTGTAGGTATGAACTATTGGCGGGTAATCAGCAAAACACCAGATTCTCTGATCATTCTCATCCACATCGGTGATCAGCCGCCGATAGTATGGATCGTGAACATGTGAAANATCAATGGAAACACACTTGTCGACCAAGAAACAGCTGGTATGAGAACATGATCACCTGCTTCCCACGGAAAAATTTTAAAACATGTACCGCTGGTCTCCGCGGTGTTTTCGTAATGGTTGCGGTTATATCGTTGAAGGTCGCGGTGTCGAAAAGAAACCGCGGTTAACAGCGATGTGGTGCACCGCAACACACATTTATCGCGGTATGTTCAAAACAAACCGTAACGTAATAACCGTTCAAGACCACGGTTTCGAAAATGCGCGATGAAAAAGTAGGTTAGCAGTGGTATTTGCGAGGCGCCATCTTCCACAAGTTTATATTCTGCTAGCTTCTCATTGTGAACCACGATCTTCAAATTTTCTCTAAGGATATCGGCGCCCAGAATATAGGCCTGCGACAGTTCAAGTTCAATAGTTACTAGAAATTGAGAACTTGAAATACACGTCAGTTCTAATTCAAAAGACCGTAACTCTTCGACGGTTCTAGTTCCAAAGAACTGTGATGGTGAATAAGTTCCTACTCAAGGAACTCGAAATGAACTTGAAGCTTGAAAACTCTCCTATCGTGATGTTTATTCCCTTTTCTGAAAGAAAGGGTTATAGCCGCGTTAAAACTGTTTAAAGTTTGTCAGCTTGTTTGTTTGTCCAAGCCAATCAGATTGCAGCATTTCATAAATCAATGAAAACTTAACGATGTTCCTTACAAAGTGATTCTTGCAAGGTAATCGAGGTCAAGGAGCTCGAATTCGGTGTTAGTTTTTTCATGAACGCTTTCTGACCCGCTTTTGGTGACAAAGGATCTATTTGTAGACGATAATGTTTTAAGCAGGAATATGTAGGACAAAATGTAATAGCTGACTGACGTCCGATTGCTGGATCTCCATAGTCATCAGCATATTCTTGAGATCACACACTTTTATAAACAGCTATTCTATACGAATATCATCTGATGCTAGTCATTCAAAATAATGTTTCGCTTTCCAGGTGTTGTCTTCGAGGGTCACAGTAGCATAAAGAGGGTGACTTTTAAGGAAGGAATAGAGAAAAATGAACGGATTAGTTTCAAAAGTGACTGTAGACTAAATGGAAGAGTGAAAATGTACATGTGACGGCTAGCCGCGAGTGGCCGACTGGAGGGAGGCCTACGAGCAACTAGTCGTTGATTTGCAGAATAATATTTTCAAGGACAAATTTTGTGATTTTTATAGAGCTTTAAGATTTCTTGGTCAGAAATTAATTGTTGCTCTGCACGAATATAGGTAGCAGCTATTTAAGGTTCCTCATGGTGGAGAGAAGATTGAAACCTTTTCCAGAGAATCATTTAGCTATCTAAGGCTTCTAAATTTTTGATTATGAATTCATTTTCCGAAATGAGCGCATTTTCGGAACGCATCTTCGTCCGAATGAATTTAAGATAGTAAAAAGAGTACGCATGGGAACAGCTAGCCGTGAGTGGCCAACCGAACGGAGGCCGACGAACGACTAGTTGTTTCTTTTGAAAATTAGTTGAAAAGTGAGATTTATAAGACTGTCGCATAGTGTCCATAGTTTTTCTAAGGTATATAGTATATATATAACGTCTTTTCGAACTGCGAGGAAAAATATGTAGATAATCGACTCATTCAACTGAAAATGATAATAAAAGATATACTGTAGGTCACGAAGTTGTGAAGAATTTCGGCAACCTTGCTAGAGACGGACTCAACAAGAACGAGGTACTTTTTAATATAAAAATATCATTAAACACTTATTAGGCACCGACGGCTAGCGATGAGTGGTTGACCGGAGAGAGGCCGACAAACGACTAGGCGTTATAATTTCAGAAGATTTCAGGAAGCGAAATTAGTCTAGGTAAAACATTCTGACAAATTATCAAATGATCAGATCGTTCAACTGAAATAATTTTTTTCTCTCTTTGGAAGAATAGTAGCGCTGTAATACTATCCTTTCAGTAGAGGGTTTAGCAGCTACTAGGCCGCGTTACTTGTCAGAAAAAGCTATCGAGAGAATATAAACGCAAGGCATTTGTTTTTGTTTATCAATCTATAATAAGTTCAATATCCCTTCTACTATTATTTGTCTTACATTTTCACTTGAAGAGGTTCAAGCAACCCACGACGGACGTTCCGGCCTCCGGAACCGAATGGAACCCGCAGGAAAGCACCTCTTTTCCTCCTCACTCCGTCCAGTTCCGTTCAGATCTCCACAGGACCAAACGGAAAACCATCGGGAAGCTGACGCAGCATTGCAGACCGGAAACCATCGGACATGGAACCGGCTCGTTCCGAGTCAATCCCACAGTACAATTCCGGCCGGAACCTACAATAACCGACCGACCAAAAAGTTATGAAAAATATCACCAAAGTGCGAACCCATCGTATCGGAGAGGAAGTGTGAGGAAAAATCAAATGGATTATCAAGGCTTCCGAAAAGCCAGAAAGTTCCGTCAGCTTTCTCCAAAATCCCATCGGCAGTACCCGACAACTTCTCCCTGATTCCGACCGTATCGCAACAGATCCAACGATACCCCGGAAAATCAGATCCAAAAAAGCATCAAAACCAAAGCCACAAGCCACAAAACTCGGAAGCTACCCGTGTAAAAAAGTAATGCCAAAACTCTGACTTCCATCGATTCTTATGAGTTTTTTCAGAAAAAGAGATTTTAATTGATTTTTTCAGGAGTAGAAATCGGATGAAAATTGTGTCATTTTAATCGATTTTTTCATCATTTCAAAACTGATGGAAGTCCATTCTTTTCTAAAAATCGACAGAATCTGATTTTCTCAAGAATCCCACATTTTGATCCATTTTCGATTGACAAAATATTAGCTGCCAATCAGATCGGTTATAGTTTTAGATTTTTAAGCAACTTTTCAAATTCCAACTCTACTCATCACTCGCCTGCTTTCCAGGCCAGCCAATACAATCCATCATACCTGGCACAAAAAAGTCCGCCGTCATTAAATTAACGTTGTATGTTAATATGGCGCCTATCGGGATTCCTCTACCGAGCACTACGCATGTAAATCAATCTGCGCGGCGACCGTGCCGCTAGCTGCAAAATATCGGGTCACCCAATCAAAACACATTGTAAGCAAACCACAATTTTCGTCGGCTTCACAGGTGGTTTCCATTGGAATATTTTTTTCCTCAATACCATCCGCCCCAATCGAACCATTTGAGAATTAAATGCTCTAGGATAAAAAATAACTTTATATTATACCCCTGCTACTGAACTTACCCTACGCATGGATACAAAATCCCACATGCAGCAATCAAACGCTTGAATCACACAAACACGAGAAAATACTCAAAGTGAAATGTAAATGAGAAATGGATGAATATTTATATGGTCGTACTGGCCGGGCTATTCAGAGCCGGGCGTCCGATAAGGAATGACCATGGCGGGCGCTTCCGTTTAATCAAAGATAATTATTCTCTATATTTTATGAAGTCATTGAATTCGATTAATATTCGGAGAATCGGTTAAAATCAATTGCTGCTGAATAAATTAATCTGAATATTTTTTTTTCTACACTTTGTTCGATGAAAAGCACTTGGAATCAGTTTTCTAAAGGCTTCTGAAGACTAAAATCCGCTTCTCAGGTAAAAATCTATGAAAATCCGTTTGTGAAAGATTTAATTCCATTTGTGACAGAAAAATCTTTTCAATCGTAATTTTGGGAGATAGAATCAAAATATGTCGCAATAATCAGATTTTTTCTGATTTTCGGCAAAAAATGACTTTAACTAGATTTTTAATAAGCTTTTTCGTATATGGGCAACATCCTTTTTTTATCACGAAGAAATTGTTAACACCTCTTGTTTCCAGGCACAGTAATCCATGGAAACCGATTTTTTACTCGGGTCATAGTTGAGCATCCATTGTCCGTCAAAGAAATCAGTCCTATTGTCGTTTTCAATCAATTTTAACGGACTTTTTTTGTAAATAATCTGCAGAAATCTATTTTTCTGCTGTATTTATTCGGAATTCCGGCATTTAATTGTTTCTTTTTCAAAAAATCGATTTTCATCTGGTGTTGTGCCCTTTTTTTTACATGGGCACTCACGACGATCATCCACTGCCCTAAACACATCCCAGACACTCTCGCGACTATCACCGAATTCTTGGATGGTCTTTTTTGGGTGGGATTTTTGAGAGGATTAAAATCGGATTTTTAATCCTTCATATGAGACTATCTGAAAAAACTTTCTCGAAGTCTTGGCTAGTCTTTTTGCATAGGATTTTTTAGAGGATTAAAAATCCAATTTAAATCGGCTCGAAAATTCTGCTCATACAGGAGTCACAGACACTGGATCAAACATTGCTTTGTGATTATGATCTGTTGCGAAGTTAGATGTTCGCTTCAGTGAAGCGTTTCCGAAGCATGTGAGAAAAACAGAAAAAAAATGGGAATAGTTCGGAAAAGTTGGGTTCCATATGTTAGGAAAGTCATCCTCGGATCTGGTCGTTTCCTTCCGGTTTCCGCATGTAAGGTTCCTGATGGAATCCGTTGGAGTATTTTGCCGAATTTTCCAAGATTTTACGTTCGGATACGATCGAAAACGAACGGATTTTGCCCGGGAAAGTCCGGCCTGGAATCTTGCGTCATGAAATCGTCGCAATGTTCTGGATCCTGCCAGTTCCGGACCGGATTGTTCGACCTGGGTAGCTTCTTTCCATCGTCTTATCGATGGTGCTTTATTTCGTGTTGTCAAATCGTCACAAACAACATTACGTTGTTCACATTCAACTCCTAATTTATCCGATAATGGGTTTATTCATTCTAATCAACGCCTTCGTCTTGCTGTTCCGAAATTAAAAACTCTTGAACTTCTTTCTTTAGCTCATGATCATCCAACTGCTGCTCACTTAGGCACTCACAAGACATTTTCTCGTCTCTCTTCTAGGTTCACATGGTCTTATATGCGTCGTGATGTTGCCGCTTATGTGCGTTCTTGTCTTTTATGTCAGCAGCATAAATCGTCTAACCAATATCCTGGTGGACTTATGCGTCCTACTGTTGTTGGTGAACCATGAAATACTGTGGGAATCGATATTACTGGTCCTTTTCCACGCACTCGTCGTGGTAATATTTATATTCTCGTTTTCATCGACTATTTCATCAAATAGGTGGAACTCTTTCCTTTACCTAAAATGAAAGCTTTCAGCGCAATACCTACGGGATTCAAGTGTGAAACACGACGGAACTGCCATTCCGAACTACTGAGTTTCGTCTTGAGGGTACACAATGTGTAAGTTGTTTGATTAGGTTCTTCATAGAAGCACAATGGAAGTCTCATGCCAAACGCACGTATGGTCACGTGAGGTCTTTGAGATGTAACAGATTTATCCCCAGCAAATTAGATAGGCTACGTTCATTTATATAATTACACACAGCACTTTGAGGATGTCGGTCACGGTCTGTGATGCCTTTTTTTTCTGGTCGGTCACATGTCTGGGGGGGGGGGGGGGGGGGGGGGGCCCCACATTTGCCCCCCAGCCCTCCCACCCCCCCCCCCGGGGGTGGTCCCACAAAACACAAACCCCACGCCCCCCCTTTTGGGGGACG